TAGAAAATATTTTCTGCAATTATTTATGCATAATAATTTTAATGTCAATATTTTATTACAAATTTTATAAATTATTTTTGAAGTTTAATGCAGTTATTTTTATCTTTTAATTAAAATTTTGTTGATAGTTATTTATATTTAAAACTTTTTGTTTTTTTTTACTTAAAATTCCATACCTATATTTTTTAACATCGAAAAAAAAGTTTGAAATTTATATACTTGGGACATATTATAATATTTTATAATTAAATTCAATATGTAATATTCTTAAAATTTTAATATATTCTTCCCACTTGGAAAGATTCCCCTGAAAGTGCCCCCTGGAGGTTCTATCAGAATTCCGCCGGAACTTCCAACGTAATTCTGTCGGAGTTCCAAAGAATTTCCGATAGGATTCCGACGGAGTTACGTTGGAAGTTTCCGCGGAATTCCGACGGAATTAGGACTCTAAAAATTTTGAAAAAAATTGATCGGAATATCGTCGGAAATTCTTTGGAACTCCGATGGAATTCCGACTGAATTACGTTGGAAGTTCCGGCGGAATTCTGATAGAACCTCCAGGGACACTTTCAGAGGAATCTTTCCAAGTTGGTTGGTACTTTGTATATATTCCAAATGCTAAGAATAAATATATACTAACTGGAGAGACTATATTCTCATTTTAAGAATATGACATACTGAATTTAAGTATAAAATATTGTAAAATAGGTCTCAATCGAGGTCCCAATCTTATATACCTAAACTAAATTTCAAAATATTTTTTTTTTCAGTGAATTAGAAATTTCAAAATTATTTTTATGAAATTTTATACAAATTTAATAAATTTAGTTAAAATTTTATCAATTTTTTTACAATTTTTATATGAAACTTACAATATTTTGGTAAAAGTTGAAAAAGTTATTTTCGAAATTCTCACGGAGAATGGCATGCTAATTGTATGCTAATCTATGACGTGTGCGGTTTATATATAATATATACATTTCTTAATTAATGAAAATAAAAAAAAGACATTTTCCAAATTCTAAATAATAAAAACAATTTTTATACTAAACGGAAAGAAACAAATTAAATACAAAATGCCAACTAATTTTTGTAGTCAAAATTTGCTGCAAAAAACTATAATATTTGTTTGGACAAGTAACAAGTTTCCTATGGTACAGTTAATTTTTTGATGTCACAGAAAACTTCTTCTATTCACGTGTAAAAAAAAAATAAAAACAAATTTAATTCATATTTACAGGTAGATTCCGCAATAAATCAGGAAAGACTCCAACATGCCAAAATGGTCAAGGAGAATGTGCAACAGAATGTTACAGTCGCGAGGAATTGAAAAATGACATGTGCTCACAAAGAAGCAAATGTTGTAAGAAGAACTAATTCCAAAAATCAAGAAGGTTTCAAAATGACAAAAAATGTCTATGACATCGAAAAGGATTTTTTTCTTCATTCCTTGGTATCCAGTTAATTATATTGTATTCTAAAATTATAAATGCCAATAAATTTTATTATTATCATTATTACTTGAATTTATAATAATTTATAATAATTACAATAAAAAAAAAAGATGATATAACAATAAGTATCAAAATTAAAAAAAAAAGTCAAAAAAATACGGCCCTGGTTCTGGTTGCGCACGCAAGTAGTGGGAGGGAGTTTTCAATTCAACACTTTTGAAGCTTATGAGTGGGGGAAAAAATCCGATACATTGAAAACTCGACACTTAGGAAACTTCTACTGTATTAATATTATAACAAAAAAAAAAAAAATTACACGAGACAAAATCTATGACTTTTTATTAATAACAGGAAAATCCATTGATTTTTTGTTTATTTTTTCAAAATTGTCAAATTATAATTTTTTTTTTTTTTCTTAAGAGTAAGATACGGGTCAGCGAACCACAGGGACGTCACGGCAAACGCTTCCTTTTCTACTTGACTGCACACGGAAAGAGTGTTCCGTTTCTCACTGTAAACGGAGAGGAAACAAGTAAACATAAAAAAAAGTATTGACTGTAAGGGAGCTCTATATAGGCGCAATTATACCTTATGCTATGTAAATGTCATCGGTGTTAGAAATGCAATTTACACACTATCCCTAAATGTTTATACAACTTGTTGTCATAGTAGAATTTCAGGTATTATTAGAGCTTTTTGTGTGATTTTCTAAGTTTATTTATTTGTGAGATTATTTTTATTTTAAATAACAGTTTTTTTACAATTGTTTATTTTTAACTTATATTCTATTTGAGATAATATTATTATATATAATAATAAAATGCTTGGTCTGTCCTTCTGTCCTAACTTGAAGTTGGCCTTTTCTGATTTCACGTATTTTTTTGAGTAGTAATCTAATAACGTGTCAAATTTTGACAATTCTTTTTCTCATTTTTGCCAAAGTTGTATAATTGTGTTTCCAAATTTCGGAATAAGTTTCTTTAAAATTCCAAATTCGAAAATTCAATTCACGAAGCTGAAGTACACAACGTTTACCAACGAAATTTTTTGTATATTGATTCAAAAATTGTATATACAAATACAAAAAATTTATGATGAGAAAAAAGATGCGCCAGGAAATTTCGTACAAGATAGTAATTTGAAAAAAATTTATTTTTAAAAATTAATTTTTAAGGTACCAGAGGCCAACGAATACCTATTAAATATTAATTATAAAAACACAGGCCTTGAATCAACTTAAAGACACAAAAAAGTCGTTTTAGTCGATTTATATTTCAAAAAAAAAGTGGATTTGTTTTTTATTTTAACAAAAATATTTTACAGATTTTTAAATAAAAAAATTTTTTTTTAATAATAATCCTTTTCGAAGGGTTAAAGTTGAAATTTTTAGAAATAATTAAATTTCAAAAGATATTGTTAATATTCAAACAATTATTAAATTTTACAGAACTAAAAATAATTTATCAAACAATTTTTGGAAAACATTTTTTAAATTTAATTGAATTTTCAAAGATATAAAATTGAGATTTTTGAAATTAATTGAAACTTTAAGTGTTTTGTAATTAAAATTTTAGATGATTTCACTAAAAATTTATTAGAAAATGCGGATAAAATACAATAATTTGAAAATTATTTTAAATTAAAAAATGGTTTCAGATAGTTGAAATTTCAAAGAATATTATTAAAATAGTTAAAAATAATTGAATTTCCTTAGAGTTATAATTGAAATTATTAAATTTCAACAAAAAAATTTTCGATGGAAAATTTTAGAAATAATTAAATTTTAGATGCTTTTAAATTCAAATTATTGAAAATTCAATTAATTTTGAATTCAAATTTTTGAGAATAATTAAATTTTATTTGATTTTAAATTTGGAAAATAATTGAATTTCACTTCATTTTGAATTGAAAATTTTGGGAAATAATTGAATTTTAATTGAAATTTTGGATAATAATTTAATTTAAGTTCATTTTTTATTGAATATTTGTATAATTAATTTTGAATAGAAATTTTAGAAAATAATTGAATTTTATTTCATTTTAAAGAAGATCTGAAGAAGATCTACATTTTATACTAAAAAAATATATTTTATTTACATTTTTTTTCAAATGTAAAAAAAATGTCGCATTTTATTAAAATAAGTCGATAAAAGTCGTATTTTTGAAAAAAAAGTCGGAAAAAGTCGTATAATCCGAGGCCTTTAAACATATAATTTTCATTATTATCATTTAATATGTTATAATATTCTAATAAATTAAATTATTATTGATAATATTAATCTTTAATTTCTTTATAAGAAACAATTTTGAAAAATCTCGCACGCATGGGGAATCGAACCCCAGGACTCTTGAGACGCGAGTCGTATACACAGACCACACAGCTACGTTGACTTACAAATCTTTTACTTATAGCCGACCTCCTTTTGAATTTTGTAATTACTTTATAAGAAAAATAGTTAATTATATATAATATAAAAATTAAAAAACTATTTTTTTAATTGTTAATAAATTAATTAAATAATTACAAATAATTAAATTAATTTTGCAGGAAAACATTTTTAGAATAGAAACTTCTCAAAATTTTACAATAATTAATAGAAAGAATATTGTAAGTTAATACAAGTTTTAGAAGATAATAAATAAATATCAAAATAAATAGATATAAATATTTTTTTAAAAAAGGGATTTTTGCCCGGGAATTAAAAACTAAATAAAAAATTTTACCATATAAAACAGCTGTTATTTTGTAAATAAATAATTGTTTTAATAAATTTTATAGAGTAAAGTATCGAAAATAAAAAAAAGTTTTTAATATACATAATAAAGCTAATCAATCAGATACATATATATGTATATATTTATATCATTAGTGAATAAATATTTAGAATTTTATTAGTGAATGGCTTAAGGAATCTCGATATGTATAGTTTGATTAGAATGTCATATAGTGACATTGAAGAATTTTATAAAAATAAATAGAAATTGTAATAACTTTGAAACTTTTCAATATAAATAAAAGCCATTTATAAAAAAAATAAAGAAATTAATGGAAAAATTCTCACTCAAAAAATGAAATAATTATTTTAGAGGTACCCGTATATAATTAAACATAAAAATCAATTAATTTTATATCAAAAAAAAATTTTAAAGCAAAATTTGAAATTTCTTGAATTTTTTTTTTAATGTCAACAAATAGAAATAAATGAATAAAAAAAAATTCAAGAAATTTCAAATTTTGCCTTAAAAAGTTTTTTTGATATAAAATTAATTGATTTTTACCGTTTAATTATAATATGGTATAAAATATTTATTTCATTCTTTTTTGAGACTTTTATTGATATAAAATTTATTTATATAAAAAATTTGTATTTACCTAATTATTTATTTCTATAAAAATATACCATTGAATGTTAATGCAATGTTCTCATTAAATTAAAATAAAAAAAAAATTAATTTTTTTAAAGAGAAAAATTAATATATTCAGAAAATCAAGGACTTTCCATGTGTCTGATATTTTAACAACATTGTAATGTAGTCTCGGAGTGTAGTGTCCTCAGTTGTTGTCAGGATTTCATTGAAAGATCATGTCTTTAATACATATAATTAACTTGAAGTTAAAGTTTCATTTTCATCAATATCACACAGTGCAATAAAAAAATTTATATAAAATATGAATTAAAAAAAATATTTATCAAACTTTTCATGTATTATTTTACATGAGAAAGTTATAAAATTTTGTTATTTTCAAGTTTAAATATAAAATATGTTTTAGCAAATTAAGAAAAAAAAAAAAGATTTTTTAACAAATTACAAAAATTATTTTTAATTAATCGAAATTTAAAAAACAAGTTTTAAAAAACATGATACGAACAAAAAAGGAAGATTACAGTCTAGTGATTGTTTTTCAATATGTAGCTGGCATAACATGTAAGTAACAAAAAATTAATTCCTAAATAGTAGAAATATAAACTTTTTTAAATATTTTTTTTTATTTATTAAAACAGTAACAAATGTAAAAAAAAGAACTAAAATAAAAATTAAATAATTATAATGGACAGAATATTAAATATTTATTTTATTTATTTTAATAATCAATTTTTTTTTGATAAAATTGTTTTTTTAATTTATTAAAAGTAATTATTAAGTAATTATTAAGTAATTATTAATTATTAAAAATAATAATGGTGAACCGCGAAATCACCATTGTAATAAATAAATAAATAAAAGTAAATTAATAAAACAATATATAAATAGAAGCCAAGAAGCAAAAAAAAATAAGTATTATATAATTTACATTTTGTAATTTAAAATTCTGTTTGAACAATAAGTTTAACATTAACTGTCATAATCAACTCATGAAATCTATAGTAAATAACTCTAGTTAGTATTCAACAGGTTTCCTTTTTTTTCTCGTGTCATATTTGTAACCTTAATACATTGTATTTTTATCTCATAAAATTTCTGACATTCATATAATCAGTCAATATATTAATCTTTAATCGTTATCTTTAGCAATGTGTATAATTCACATTGTTAACATATTTTTATTACTCTTTAATTTGTTAATCTCTTAGAAATTTTGCAAAAAACAGATTTTATAGACGAGAAATTTTTAAGCTTCTGTAATATATTTAGTATTTCATTTATTAAGAGAAACTGAAAAAAAGTGAATAAATTTATTGACACTGTACTTATTATTCTAATTAAATTTTTTTTTTATTTAACCATTATTTTGCAATAAATATTGTTATATTTTAACATATTTATACATCATTACATTATAAAATATATATATAAACAATTATTACGATTTAATTGTTTATAAAAATTGTCAAAAAAAATATTATATTGTTAAATAACAATTTTGGCATAACACTCTAAGTCCATTTTTAGGGTTTCGTGGACCAGGGCTGAAACTCTCAGAGAATGATTTTAAAGTCCAAAATTATAATATGAAATAAATAGTCGCATCCGCAATAATCTAAATTTAATTCAATCAAAAAAATTAATCTTAAATAAGTCCAGAATAATCTGGAATTTGTATGTCAACTATCTGTAAACAGAATATACGTAATAATATAAAATTTTTGTGTGAAAAATCCAGTATTAGTCTGCATTATTCCGGATTTAATCAGGTAGAAAATATATCAAAATTTGAAATAAATCTCGAGAAATCTGAAATTAATATAATTACAAAATTAGTTGGGGAGGATGGGGTAAGGATAGTTAGGTAAGACATTTTTGGATCTATAGTAGCTAAAATTCAACAGGCATCGGAAAAAGAATAGTATCGTTCGAAAGCCTGTTTATTTAGCTACAATTTTGTAATACATTATTTTGCTTCAAAGCACTACCAAAAAAATTTTTTGGACATAAATAAATATTTAAAACAGTTAATATCTGAAACAGTGTTTTAAGGCCAGGTCCAAGTGAGGCAGTACCATCTACATTGAAACTAAAATTTTGGAAAATTTTCAACAGCCTTTTCTTGAAAACAAGAAGGTAAAATGCTTTTTCCTTTATGGATAATTAATTATTGGCAAGATATACACCAGCTAAAACTTTTTTTGAGTTAAAATAATAAAAAAAATTTCGTGTCAATAAATTAAATATGAGCACTTTTTTCACAAAAACTGTAACAGTACTTTCTCAGAAATTACAATCAAAAATGCAATTTCCATTTGGAAAATTAATAAACGCTAAAAAATACACGACCTAAGATTTACCAATCAAGAAAATAACAAAAAAAAAGTATTTTAACATAACATATTTTACTCATTATGACAGCCGTTTGGCAGGTTATATATGTCACCAGACGTTTCGCGGTTTTGACGAAAGGAGGAGATTGGCGCTGTTGCTAAACACCTGAAATACATAATCTACCAAAGGGCTGTCACAATCAGTAAAGCAGTATTAATATGTTAAATATTTAATAAAAAATTTTTTTTTGTTATTTTCGTGATTGGTAAATCTTAGGTCGTGTATTTTTTAGCGTTTATTAATTTTCCAAATGGAAATTGCATTTTTGATTGTAATTTCTGAGAAAGTACTGTTACAGTTTTTGTGAAAAAAGTGCTCATATTTAATTTATTGACATGAAATTTTTTTTATTATTTTAACTCAAAAAAAGTTTTAGCTGGTGTATATCTTGCTAATAATCAATTATTCATAAAGGAAAAAGCATTTTACCTTCTTGTTTTCAAGAAAAGGCTGTTGAAAATATTCCAAAATTTTAGTTTCAATGTAGATGGTGCTGCCTCACTTGGACCTGGCCTTAAACACAACTGAGACATTTTAGAAAATACAGGATTTTCACAAATAAACACGTAGCTTCCATAAATGATATCGCATCAAGATCAAATTTTTCTTGACGTCTTTTGGTGTTAAAACAAGTATATATGAAGAATAGTGCCTTTTTTGAAGAAGCCGTATAGGCAAGAGAACCACTAACTATCCTTGCCCCTTAACTATCCTTGCCCCATCCTCCCCTATATAGTCAATCCGCACAAAAATTTCGTTCGCAACTTCCGGATTAAGACTTTGCTGAGGTATTACCAAGGTCATATTTCTCAAATTTCAAAAATTGAAATTTTTTTTTTCATCTTTTGAATATCGCGTCATTATTCTTGGTTTTCATACAATAGCGCCGTTAATTTTTTGGTGTAACGTTGCCATATTCATGCCTATGTCAATTTACAGTTAATTCCTAATACAAAAATTTTGTTTATAATTATAAACCTTCTTCGATATTTTGCCAATTTCTGAAAACAGGTGTTATGTTCACGTTTTTTATTGTAGTAGTGAAATTTTGTGGAATAATTGTTAATTTTTTGTTTTCTTGAACAGTATACGACCTAAGCTTTGTAATAACCTAGAAATTTGAGACTAATTTTCTTTATTTATTTAAATAATATATGTGTCTTTCTGTCTTATAATTTCAGAAAATATGGCCATATGCTTTGTTAATTCTTAGAAGCACACATTTTTAATTTAGGAATAGTCGTTTGAAATTTGTTACTCGGAAGTTTTTGAGGTCGCTGATTATGAATCCGACGTCCATTTTCAAAAATTCAAAATGGCGGACATTTTCAAAACTTGCATGAAATCGCTTGAAATTTGTTACTCTGGGGTTTTTGGGGTCGCTGAATACGAATCCGACGTCCAATTTCAAAAATTAAAAATGGCTTATCGAAAATAACAAACGAACTTTTCAAAAAGTTTCAAATATATGATATACTCCAATTTTGAAACTTTCCAAAGGGTTACTCGTTTTTAGCGCTACCCAGAACTAATGTCGAGGACGTGATGAGTTTTTAGTTCCATTTTTGTTTTGTATTTTTTTTGTTTTTTATATTTTTTAATTTAGAAACATTTTTTTTATCATTTTAAAAAATTTTCTTTCACATATTGAAATAATAAATATATATAATAAATTTATATAATAAATATATTTAAATTTATAAAATTTTATATTATACATTGTTTATTAACTTTGCTTAGACTACTTATGGTACTCTGCAAAACAGTTTCATGCTGATGATAAGCACAGTGGCACATCACAAATGATACAAACCCAATTTTTGCTCCATTTTTCGCCGAAAACAATGGGAAAAGGGATAAATTTTTAAAATTTGCAACATTTTCCATTAATTTCAGAGACAAATGAAGCAGAAAGGGTTACATTTTTAAAATTTGCTGCATTTTACATTGTTTTCGACGAAAAATAAAGCAAAAATAGAAATTTACCCCTTATTTTCAATTTTCTATTGTTTTCAGGAAATAAAGTATCGAAAATAAAAAAAAAAAGTTTTTAATATATAATAAAGCAAATCAATTAGATACATATATTTATATCATTAGTGAATAAATATTTAGAATTTTATTAGTGAATGGCATAAGGAATCTCGATCTGTATATAGTCTGATTAGAATGTTATATAGTGACATTGAAGAATTTTATAAAAGTAAATAGACATTGTAATAACTTTGAAATTTTTCAATATAAACAAAAGCCATTTATTAAAAAAATGAAGGAATTAATAGAAAAATTCTCACTTAAAAAATGAAATAATTATTTTAGAAGTACCAATATATATAATTAAACATAAAAATCAATTAATTTTATATCAAAAAAAATTTTTAAGGCAAAATTTGAAATTTCTTGAATTTTTTTTTTAATGTCAATAAATAGAAATAAATGAATAAAAAAAAATTCAAGAAATTTCAAAGTTTGCCTTAAAATTTTTTTTTGATATAAAATTAATTGATTTTTACCGTTTAATTATATATGGTATAAAATATTTATTTCATTCTTTTATTGAGACTTTTATTGATATAAAATTTATTTCTATAAAAAATTTGTATTTACCTAATTATTTATTTCTATAAAAATATACCATTGAATGTTAATGCAATGTTCTCATTAAATTAAAATAAAAAAAAAAATTAATTTTTTTAAAGAGAAAAATTAATATATTCAGAAAATCAAGGACTTTCCACGTGACTGATATTTTAACTACATTGCAAAGTAGTCTCGGAGTGTAGTTTCCTCAGTTGTTGTCAGGATTTCATTGAAAGATCATGTCTTTAATACATATATCTAACTTCTAGTTATAGTATCATTTTCTTCAATATCACACAGTGCAACAGAAAAATTTATATAAAATATGAATTAAAAAAAATATTTATCAAACTTTTCATGTATTATTTTACATGACAAAGTTATAAAAATTTATTATTTTCAAGTTTGAAAGTAAAATATGTTTTATCAAATAAAGAAAAAAAAAGATTTTCTAACAAATTACGAAAATTATTTTTAATTAATAGAAATTTAAAAAATAAATTTTAAAAAACATGATACGAACAAAAAAGGAAGATTACAGTCTAGTGATTGTTTTTCAATATGTGGCTGGCATAACATGTAAGTAACAAAAAATTAATTCCTAAATAGTAGAAATATAAACTTTTTTAAATATTTTTTTTTTATTTATTAAAACAGTAACAAATGTATAAAAAGAACTAAAATAAAAATTAAATAATTATAATGAAAAGAATATTAAATGTTTATTTTTTTTATGCAAAAAAAACTGTTTTTGTGTTTATAATTTTAAAATTAAACTATAAAGAAATTATTTTTAAACATTGATAAAATTTAGTAGATAGTAAAAAGTAATTTAAAAATTTTTTTTTTAAATAATTCACCATTAACCATTATTTTCTACCAAAAATCCAGTTTTTAATTCTCTTTCCCGAATCTTTTATTTACATAACTATCAATTTCATTTTGATAAAAATGTTTTTTAAAATTATTAAAAGTATAATTATTAAGTAATTATTAATTATTAAATTAATAATATTGCAATAAATAAATAAATAAATAAATAAAAGTAAATTAATAAAACAATATAATAAGCAAGAAAAAAAAATGTTATATAATTTACATTTTGTAATTCTAAATTCTGTTTAAACAATAAGTTTAACATTGACTGTCACATAATCAGCTCATGAAATCTATAATAAATAACTCTAGTTAGTATTCAACAGGTGCATTTTTCTCGTATCATATTTGTAACTTTAAAATATATTATATTTTATCTCATAAACTTTCTGACATTTATAATCATTCAATATTTTAATCTTTAATCGTTATCTTTAACAATGTGTATAATTCACAATGTTAACATATTTTTATTACTCTTCAATTCATAAATCTCTAAGAAATTTTTGCAAAAAACAGATTTTGTAGAAGAGAAATTTTCAAGTTTCTGTAATATATAGCATTTTATTTATTAAGAGAATCTGAAAAAAAAAATTAATATACTTATTGACCCCCTCCTAATAAGCATGAAAGTTTGCAGCAAACTTGCAGGAAGCTTGCCGTACATGGAAGATGTGCGAGACTGCAATGCAAACATGTTCCTAAGAAGCACGTAATATATCCTCAATATCAAGGTAATATTACATGTAGGATTTGTAATATAACGTTGTAATATTACAGTAATTTTACAGTGATCTTAAAATGTCCGCCTCAAGGTAATATTACCGGTAATGTTACTGTAATATTACGCGCTAATATTAAGGTAATATTACAGTAATATTGCAGTAATATTATACCGTAATATTAAGATAATATTACAAGAGAATATTACAGTAATATTATGGGAACATTTCTTTACGAAAAAAATCTACCCATCCAGGGAATCGAACCCCGAACTCAAATCACACGAGTCCAGAGTTTTACCAACAAGCCAAATTGACTCATAATATATTTACGTTTTTTATGCATTATGAATAACTCAAATCAGTCTGTAATATTACCGTTAATATTACCTTAATATTAGCGCGTAATATTACAGTAACATTACCGGTAATATTACCTTGAGGCGGACATTTTAAGATCACTGTAAGATTACTGTAATATTACAGCGTTATATTACGAATCTCACGTGTAATATTACCTTGATATTGAGGATATATTACGTGCTTCTTGGGTTGTAAGTTTGGTGCAAACAACAAAATGTCCTCTTACGGCAAGTTGCTCTTGCAGCAAGCTTGCGCCAAGGTTACAACACTTTTTGATTAGAAAAATTTCAGGGGCTAACGATATCGATCTATATATGTGCCCTTCTTCGTCCATGTGGCGATTCAATCACTCCTATTAAATCCGAAATTAATTCTGTCTGCCACAGAAAAAAAGGAGGGTAAAAAGTTGTAAAGATAGAGGATAAAATTTGTTAGGACACAGGGTAAAGGATAAATTTGTGATGGATAAAAATGTTACTAAAATATTACTAGAAAAATGGATGTCATATTTGAGTAAACTGTCTAATTTTAATAAAAATATTAGTAATTTTATACTTAACTTATTAAATCCACAAATTTTTTATAAATAAGTAATTGTATGTGGAAATATTTTGCCTATAATTATTGTCTATTAATAAAAATATCTTTGACTAATACAACTGACAGCTGACGACAGTACGTAAATAATCAGAATTGGGAAATTACAACTCAACGTTGTTGCACGAAAGCAGAGTTGGGTAGTAACTGAATTTTTTGTGCATATTAGGCTCAGTCACTTGTGACGTCAGAGTCGATTCTAGGTATGACGTCAGAAGTCTGGAGGGACAACAAACAGACGACACAATGTTATTCTTATGGGGAAGAATAGTTATTTTCGTATCAAGGGCGCAAAATAGGTGATTGTGGCGAAGGCGAGATTAGAGAAACCAAGGGGACCCGAAGCGCCCGAGGCGAAGCCGAGGGTGCGTAGGGTCGCCGAGGTTTCTTCATAATCTCGCCTGAGACACTATCACCTTTTGCGCCCGTGCTGCGAACAACATTTTTTGTCCTGTCTGCATGGAAAGTGTATTATTGAGTGCATGCAAGTCCGCTTGTTTCAATGTTCCATCAGGGTTGGGAAGATAATATACTTAAGGTAAATTACATGTAGTTGTTTACGTATACTATGTATGTTTATTATGTCACAAAAAATGAAAGCAATACATTTTTTAATGGTGCGGGCGCGAATGTATTTTGCGCCCGCTTCTATGACGTCAGCGGGCGCGAATGTACTTTGCGCCCGCATCTATGACGTCAGCGGGCGCGAATGTACTTTGCGCCCGCTCACCCCATCTCTGGGCGGGAATCACTTACTTTGCGACCGCCTCAAGTGCACGAAATAACACACTTTCCGTGCAGGTAGGACAAAAAATTAGTTTCCACTTTCATCAATTTTATTCATACTTTGAACATGGAAAACGCTTGTTGACATCTACTATAATTAAAATGTGTGTTGATAATTAATGTTGATATATATTTGATTCAATTGCATTAATAGATTCTCTGAATTCGTGATAAAATATAAATTTTGAGGTTAGGGGTGTTTGTTTACTAACTTGAGATCTTTTACTGCTGCGGTAATTCCCACTTAAAATATATATTTTATATCTTTTTTAATAACATGCATACTGGATATTGTTTAATAATGTTAAAATGTAAAATGTGATTAGTAAACAAACACCCCTAACCTCAAAATTTATATTTTATCACGAATTCAGAGAATCTATCAATGCAATTGAATCAAATATATAACAAAATTAATTATCAATACACATTTTAATTTTATTAGATGTCAACAAGCGTTTTCCATGTTCAAAGTATGAATAAAATTGATGAAAGTGGAAACTAATTTTCTTCCCCATAAGAATAACATTGTGTCGTCTGTTTGTTGTCCCTCCAGACTTCTGACGTCACACCAAAATCGACTCTAACGTCACAAGTGACAGAGCCTAATATGCACAAAAAATTCAGTTACTACCCAACTCTGCTTTCGTGCAATAATACAGACGTTGAGTTGTAATTTCCCAGTTCTGATTATTTACGCACTGTCGTCAGCTGTCAGTTGTATTAGTCAAAGATATTTTTATTAATAGACAATAATAATTATAGGCAAAATATTTCCACATACAATTACTTATTTATAAAAAAACTGTGAATTTAATAAGTTAAGTGTAAAATTACTAATATTTTTATTAAAATTAGACAGTTTACTCAAATATGACATCCATTTTTCTAGTAATATTTTAGTAACATTTTTATCCATCACAAATTTATCCTTTACCCTGTATTCCAACGACTTTTATCCTCTATCTTTACAACTTTTTACCCACCTTTTATTCTGTGTGTCCAACTAGAAAATCCGGAATTTGCAATTACGTTTGATCGGACTGACTTCAGATTAGACCTGAATCAATCCCGATTTACTATAGTTACATAAACCGGCGAATTTCGAACTTTATTTGACTAATTCCAGATGACAAAAACCTTATTAGACTGTTTTGGATTAAATACGGATTATAGTAATTAATTATATTAATTTTTATTTTAGGCTATTTAGATTTGAGAACGTTGATAATTAAGACTGACCACGAAACCTTATAATGAAAACTCTATTCGCTTTGAATAATTTTGAAAAAAAATTTCTTTATTCTAATTAAAATATAATTTTTATTTCCACAAAATAATGAACAAATTGTTTAATTTATTTCTATAGCCACACTCATCGCCCTGGGATACAATTCAGTGTTAAGTTGGATGTCACCAGCGTTACCATATTTAACAAGTGACAAAGCAAATTCACCACTATTGGCAACCGATTTTGATTTAATTGCAACAGCATCGACACTTGGAAGTTTTTTCGGCTATTTGGCAAATCCACCTCTTGTCAAGTATTTTGGCACTAAATGGACACTGTTGATATTTGCAATTCCACAAATAATATCATGGATTATGCTCGTGATTAATGAAGAATTTACAACAATATGGATATCAAGATTAATAAGCGGTTTATCATATTGTGGTGCGTTGGGATCATTGACCGAATATTTAACAGCCATCAGTAATTCAGGCAATAGAAGCAAATTATATGCCATAATGAATCTCTCTTCAAATTTTGGCACTTTATTGCCACTAGCACTTAGTCTTTTTCTAACATATTTCCAAATGAATCTCAGTCTAATGATGATACCAATAATTTTTTTTGTCGTCTTTTTATTTATGCCAAAGTCATCATATTTTGTCGAGATGAATAAATGGAAGGAGGAAATGAAAAATAATTTGGAAATTACATCACAGAAAGTGAATATCAACAAAAGTGATGAAAAGAATTTTGCAATTAATGATAAAATTTCAATAATTGAAAATAATGGAAATATTTTAGTACCAAGGGATGTTATCGGTAACGGTGATTTAGATAAAAAGAAAAATTTTCAAACTGAAATCAAAATGCCCGAGAGTGATAATATTTTAAGGAATCATTTTATTCTGAATAAACCAACGCTTATTGATGATAAGGCAAAGGAAAAGAAGAATTGGTCGAAAATTTATTTTTCGAACATTTGTCATGAAAAGATAAAAGAAAGTTCATTTTGGAAATTGTTTATGGAAAGAAACAATAGAAAGTCATTGTTTATATTAATGTGTGTCTGTTGTTTAGATATTTTAGCTGGTCATATACCAATTGTATCTTATACTGAACAATTTTTAACATATCCTGGATCAATTATGGATGGTGGTAAGGCATCATTTTTAATGACAATTATCAAGGTGATTGTAATTTTAATTAGTACACAATATGTGGAGAAGATTGGTAAAAAAAAACTTCTTCTTATTTGTGGTATTGTTGGATCATGTTCCATGATACTTGTGGGATTATTTTTCTTTTTTCATAGTCAAAATTATGATATTTCAACAATTGGATGGTTCCCATTGGTTTTTATCACCATTTCCGAAATTGCAAATGCCCTCAGTGTTGGAAATACATATTATGCATATCAGGGCGAACTTTTTTCAAACGATGTGAAAACATTAGGTATTAGTATCACTAATACAATGTACATGATTATACAATTGATTGCGCTAATGAAATTTCAAGTATTATTACAGATTTTAGGTTTATATGTGATTTTTTGGTTTTTTGCATTTATGTACATTTTAATGACACTTGTTATATTTATTGTTGGACCGGAAACTCAGGGTAAAACATTACAGGAAATTCAAATGGAATTAAAAAAATGAATTTAACTAACGCCTTTTTTTCCGGATTTAAAAATTGTTTATATTTTTGTATTACGATTCTGTAATAGTCTTAAAATATATAATTATAATTTTTATTATTTCTAAAATAGTATTTATTATAGACAATAATATTTCAGGTATTGTCTATGTTTGGTATATAATAGAAATAATCTTACCAATCGAGGAATCCATTATATGAAATATTCCGTGAATAACTTTTATTTCGTGATAATTGAATTTAGTTATATTTAATTTTTGTTCAAATAAAATTTAATATAAAAAATTTTTAAGGACTATAAAATGTATTGTTACTTTAGTCTAAAGTAACTACGAACACGATATATTTAATCTACATTTACATTAAGGATTCATTATTCTATTCAATCACACATTAAAAGGAACTAGTATAGATTTGACTACTTGTTTCAATTTTTGTAGTTGATTCAACCTTTTTTTTAAACCCCAATCAAGACTAAACTAATGATTAAATAAGGAATCTACAAGTCTTCTAGAAAAGTGCAAAACAATAATTATAAATTAGAGGAAAAGTATGAGAGAATGGGAACGCCTTAAGGAAAAATAAAAAAAACGACCTTATTGTTTCATAAGTTTTGTTAGAAATTCATAAAACATAAAATATGTTAATTCCATCATTTTTCACTCTTTTGGTAACCTATCTTTTAATATCGGGGATTTAATATTTATTATCTTCACAACTATAATGCAAGTACAACACGTGTTAGCCAAATCGGTATCTGGTATTGTTAGTTGGTGAAATGACTCTATTAAATAGAATCGACGTCTATATATACAGTGACTCACACAATGTTATATATATATGTGCCTATAATCGTGTTCTCTTAAAGACTTCATTCACTTTTCTTATATGTATATTTATCAGAATTTAATCAATATTTCTCGTATTAATTTGAAAATGGCAAAAGTATTTTAAAGATTGTACAAATTCTTTATATAAATGAATCATATTCTATTAGAGATTTCCTTATATTGAAAAATATTATTAATAATCCTTGAAAGTCTCCAAGCATAATCCAAAAAGGAAATCTAAAAATGGTGTACCAGTTCGTTATGAACTACAACATTCGAATTTAATACCAGTTTGTTAGTCGTAAAAGTATGTACGTACAACTTCCAATGTATTTCTACAAAAAAAAAAAAAGATACGCTAAATCAATTTTGATTAAAAAATTAAGAAAACCCCTACAGTTAGGAAACAAGGGATTAAAAACAGATTTTTTTAACGTAGTCGATAATTATCAAGATCTGTAGAAAAAGATGACATTCACAATTACAAGAAAACAGTTGGAAACAATTTATATTATTATAAAAAATTTTGAAACTTTTTGGTACTTTATTAACTTATCAATTTTTTTTTAATTCTGTTTGTGTCCAATTCCTATATGTATTCCTTGTTGAGACTAAGATTGATTGAAACTCAATTCCTATCAATTCTGTTTTAATATTTCTCTAATTTTTTAATTCTTTTGAATTCCAAAATACTGAATAAGTATAATTCAAACTAAATATTTCAGTTATATACCTGAAACTCAATTCCGTTTTGATATTTCGATAACTTTTTAATTATTTTGAATTCCGTAATACTCTAAATCAAATATATCTACATAGTTCGCAGTTGATACAGCTGCGCAGAATAGGGCTGTTTTCGGCGTTCACCCTGGGTTAACCCAGAGTTAACGATGGTCCAATCATCATTAACATTCTGTTAGATCTACCAATCACAATTAACTCAGAGTTAACCCAGGGCGAACGCCGAAAACAACCTAGTTGTTTGGCTCTGACATTGAAAATCGAAAGTTCAAATCTTCAGACCATCAAATTTTTTTCTGCACAAAATTTTAAAATGAAAATTGAAAAGAATTCAACTGGCATTATTTTTGAGAACGCAAGATGTATACAAAAGAATTGGACAGAAACGGAATTCAGAAGAATTAAAAATTTTCAATTCCTCACTTTTTACTGTGTTGTCAGAAGGGAATTGTGATTTCATAAATTTATTCTTACACGCTTTAAATGTAAGTTTTTATTCCCTGCTTTTTCCTTTCAATAATAAATATAATTGAAAACGATTAATATTTGTTACTCCCTTAAAAAGTTAAATAACAGTATTGTTTCACTGAGAAAAATGCCGTCGTAACTTTACAACGTCCAACGTGACTCGAAAAATGGACCACGTCAGACGTTGTAAAGTTACGAACGGTTTGTAAAAAAACTTATTTACAATGAGTTTGCATTTTTACAAACGATTGTCAATTTACGATCGTTTGTAAATTTACGTCAGACGTCGCTGTATTCCTAACCTCTGATTTTCTTACTATGTCTAACGTTGTAACTTTACCCAAAAAAAAATCATTTGTAACTTTACAAACTGTTCGTAAACCAGCGCTGACCTTTTTCTCAGTGTTATGACATCTTTTAACATAAACATAACCTACAACAATAAACGTGAGAACAATAAAAACATGTCCGTTAATAAAAAAAATACTTTACACTATTTTTAAAGAAATTAAGTTTTCATACATACTTTCATATTGCCTTATGATTTTACTCACATCATTAATCAATAATTAAATATTTAAGTTATATCGCATGCACATTAAAAATTTTCGCAGTGCATTAGAAGCAGGCGACACGATTTAATTCTACATTTTCCCGCGAAGGTCGCACTGAACAGTCGACTACCGAAAACTCTAGGTGTATTGCCCTATTCTGGGGCCAAATTTTCCTTACATTTGCATGGCTGTTAAGTCTCCTTATTGTTTTATCAAGAAGTCATAAAGGAAGAAGAAGAAATATCCTTCTACTACTTCGTGAGTAATACTGTCATTCTGGTATCATGAATACAAACATAAAATTGAGGTTAGGGATTTCTATGTGCTATAGTACCATCCCCCACAGCACCGAAAATTTCCTGAAAATTTCCTAAAGATTTATTTGCAAACTTCGGAAACTTTAATTGCAAAGTTTAGAGAAAATTGTATAATTTTTGTAACAAACATTTACTCATTTTGGACATTTAAATCTTTATATAATTTTCTCTAAACTTTGCAATTAAAGTTTCCGAAGTTTGCAAATAAATATTTAGGAAATTTTCGGTGCTGTGGGGGCAGTACCAATATTGCAGTATTGGTGTTTTAGGCATATTAAATTCTGAATCGGTAATAACTACTACTCTTAAATCTCCAACTATACCAAAGAAATTAAATAATTCAGAAATATAACTGATATATATTATATTTAATGATCAAGAAAATAAATTTTCTTATAATATATATGTATATATATATGTATGTTAATCGGAGAATTTCACTGATTCAGGCTAATTGAGTCGTCAACACAACCCTGACCTAGAACTGTATGTATATAATGTATATAGGAAATAAAACCTTTTCGTTAAGAAGAAAAATAAAACAACAAGTATACATAACTGCAAACATTATGGGAATCATAATGAAAAGATATAATCATATTTTTATGATATTCTATTGCAATATATATATACACACACAGTAGTACAGCTTCACCGTTAGGTTCGTTGTGCTTCATCAATTTTGCTCCACTAAAATTATATTCTCTCTCAACGGTGTGAAATACCTGGTTTTAGAACCGTGCAGATAATGACCTTGCATAATCGATACGATCTTGTACTTTGAATCCAACTATTTAATTTCGAGATCAAATCAAATGAGAGTATACAAACTATAATAACAACTTGCGCTGACATTTTTCTCCGGCACGCAGATACCGTGAAGTATTTACAAAAAAAAAAAAAAAAGTTTGTTTAATTAGAAATGAAATTAATTAATGATTGGATACAGTAATTGCTACTGGAATTTATATATAAAATGTTTTCATATGTATATTTAATTATTAACAACAAAACTTATAATTTTTAGTTAACTTTTATAATAGTAATTATATTGATGTATATTTTTTATAATTTCACTTGTTTACGTTTTTCATATAGTTAATAATTTGTAATTAAATAAAATAAACAAAAACGATTTGTGTATTTTTACATTCTCATCATATATGAGAAGGTATTATGATTGGTCGAAAATTGACTTTTGCTAATTCCATGAAATCTTTACATTTTGAAGTGTGCCCTGAGTTGAAAAATTCTAGATTTATTAACAATTTAATGAATAAATTGAAAAACAAAAATAATTGTTACTAATTTTGTGGTCTTATAATTAAAAGAGAAAGATTCTTAAAATATGATTTAAATTGGATTTTCTTCCTTACCTTCAGATGGTAATTTATCGATGAGGTGAGAAATCTTTCTTTCCTCATCTCGCAACAATAGAATTCAGTCTAATTTAGAGGATTTCCCTCTATATTATCATTTGAGATTAATAATTTCAATTAAACGGGTATTTTTTAAAAATTCTATTTAAATTTTTTCAAGTCACTTAATATAAACAGGTTAAAGGTTCGAATAAAAAACAGATGATTAATTAAAAAATATTTTTTTTTATTCCACTATCATGTCACTATCATTTTCCAAAGTACTAACATTCGATTTCTCATCTTTATTCATCTCTATCCTAGAATTTTCTGCATTTTCTGCATTCTTTGTCTCAGTAGATAATAATTCTTCTTCTCTTGAAATATCATTAGTTTTTAATACTAATTTACTATTTACATTCTTTTTTATTCTACTTAAATAATCTCTTGTTAAATCTTTTTGTCCAAATCTTCGAAATTTGAAATTTGGTAGATAGCGTAATTCGCCATCCCATTTCTTCAACATTTCACATTGGCTTGTTGTTAGTATATCAGGAATTTCTGTTTTTAATGAGAAAAAACAAAAAAATATATATATTAGAAACATTCTGTGAAAAATGTCTTATTAAATACAATTTTTCTTTTTTAAACCAATTTACCAAAAAAAAAAAAAATTATTTATCTCATTACCAATTCCACATGTTTTATATTCTTCTAATTCACGTTCCTTTGTCATTCGAAGAATATCTTCTCTACTTGCATGTTGTCTATTTCTTTTTCCTCCAATTGAATGTTTTAATGCTATTTGCTCCAGTTCTTCATCATTTCGTGCTATGTATCTAGATGAAAAATAAAATGTAGAATATGAAATTTTTCAATATTTATTATACATTTTTTTATACATATTTATGCGAAACACAGATCACTAACTCTAATAATAATTCTGCTGTCAATTCTGTAGTATAAGGACAAACATCCTTCATATTCTGTTGAATCCATAACATTTTCTCAGCCACCAAATTTTGCTTTATGTACGAACCAAGTTTCGTTTTTTCACGTTTATTTATTCTGAAAAATTAATTAACATTCCAAACATTGACGTTTTAATATTTTCTAAAAATTTATCAATTTTATAATAATTTATTTCAAAAAATATCGGGACGCATGATTATGTTCTATAAATATTATTAGTTAGAATTTTCATTTTATGGAATTTTATTTGTCATAATTATTTTTGAGCCGAATTTTTATTTATTCGAATTAGTATTTTGTAGAATTTTCATCAAACCGATTATCTATATTACAGAATTTTTATATAAGGTAAAAGCACCAGTAACTGGACGCTATTGAAGGGGTCTCAAATTTATTTGTGTTTTGTACTAAGATAATTATTCAATATAATTGATAAAATGTTTGTATTTTCGTTTTATTTATCTTTAAAAAATACTAATTAGACAAAATTAATTGTCAATTCAGACAGAATTGGACAGCGATTTTCGAGAAATTGTTTTATATATTTTTTTTACTCCTACAATTAATAAATTTTATTTTGCCTAAAAGCTAATTATCTAAAGAGTATTTCAAATTCTTTTTTACTTAATTTGAGGGCTATTTTAATTTATTTTTGCTACTGTCCATCTACTGGTTCCAAATTTTGCTTTATCCAGGTACTGGTGCTTTTACCTTAACCAACTTCAAAGAATTTGTTTTTGAGCCGAATTTTTATTTGTCAGAATTTTTATTTGCTCAAATTTTCATTTAACATAAATAGACATTTTTAAAGAATTTTTATTGGGTAGAATTTCATTGCATAGAATTTTCTTTCAGATGAATTTTCATTTGTTCGAATTATTTTTTGATATAATTTCCATATTACTGATTTTTCATACTATCGAATTTTTACTTAACCGAAAAATCATTTAACAGAATTTCTAATTGTTAGAATTTTCATATGTCCGAAATTGCAATTGGTCGAACAAATAATCGACAGAAAGATTTCGGCGCGCGATTTTTAAAATCAACCAATTACAATTTTATGAATAATTTTTGATTGGTTGATTTTAAAAATCGCGCCGAAATCGTTCTGTCGATTATTTGTTCGACCAATTGCAATTTAGGATATATGAAAATTCTATCAATTAGAAATTCTATTAAATGATTTTTCTGTTAAGTAAAAATTCGATAGTATGAAAAATCGGTTATATGGAAATTATATCAAAAAATAATTCAAACAAATGAAAATTACTCTGAAAGAAAATTCTATGCAATGAAATTCTACCCAATAAAATTTCTTTAAAAATGTCTATTATGTTAAATGAAAATTCGAGTAAATAAAAATTCTGACAAATAAAAATTCGGCTCAAAAATAATTATGACAAATGAAATTCCATAAAATGAAAATTCTAACTAATGATTTTTAGAACATATTCAAATTGTATAAACAAATAAATTTTTTTCTTGAAAATTTATTTGCGTTTTACTGCCAGACAAACTGGTTTGCCGTTAGACTATAATAATCATGATTATAGTGAAATTAGACGTAAACTTAAAATACCACTAATGTCTGAAAGATTTTTTGTTTTCTGATCTTCATTTTTTATTTAAAATCATCAATGGTCGAATTAACTGCTCAGTCCTGTTGTTTTTATTTGATTTCTACGTGCCGCAAAGATCGCCTAGAAACCCACCATTATTTAAATTACCTTTCATTAAAGAAAACTACATTATAAATTCAGTGATCAACAGACTGAGCAGTGAGGCAAATCAGTTTAACAACAGCATTGATTTTTTCTGTAATTCACTCACAACTTTTATTAAAAATTTGCGTATCTTAATTTTCAATGATTATAATAACTATGCAGCCAATTAATATACAATAAACATAATGTATCTTTATAGTACTCTGTACGAATGGGCTTTGCCCGTATATTTTCAATAAATAAATAAAATTGATATTTCTTTTTTCAGAAAGTACAATTAATAATATTACTTTAATTATTTAAATGTTATTTAATTATCTTTTTTTGGAGGTCTGCATTTCCTTGGATAAACGTCCTTAATGTAATTTTTATACTATATAATTTATACTGTAATTTACTTGTGAGTTTTCTTGACAAGCGCTATTGACTTCCTACTATTTGGATGAGAAAGCTTCTTCACCTTTGACAATTCCTTTCTTAAATTTGTAGACTGAAATATATTTATTACAATTAATGAACTAATTAATTAAATTAATTAACTACTAACTAATAATAACTAAAAAAAAAGTTATTAAAAATTTCAATACAAATTATAATAATTTTTTAAATTTTCAATGTGATAAAAAAAACTTGTAATTCATGGCTTTTTTTTGTTAAAAGTACCCCAACAGTACTGAAACTTTCCTAAAGATTTATTTGAAATGTTCAGAATATTTAATTGTAATGTTTAGTGAAAATTGTATAAAGATTTAAATGTCCCACTTGAATAAATGTTCAGGAAAGTTTCACACTAAACATTTATTTAATCGGGACATTTGCAATTAAATATTCCAAATATTGCAAGTAATAAATATTTACTAAATTATCAGGAAATTTTTGGTGCTGTAGGGGTAATATTTACAATAGAAAAAAAATTTACTAATTTATTGCAGTTTTTCTTTTTGCAAGACCAGTAGCAAATTTAAGTATTTTGTCAGTTTTCCTTGCTTTTTCATTCTTAATTGTTTTGACAATTTTTTTTTTTGTAACACAGTGTAATAGAAATAAACGTTTATACTTACCATTGTACTTTTTTGTGGAGGCACAATAAAATTTTTGGTAAAACTTGTTAAATAATAATAAATAGACAGACAGTAGTGATAACAATATTTTCTGACATCTTAAACAGTGACCACGTTTTTGCATACATAACCTATCTTTTTCTTATACGTTTCTGGTTTTGTTATTAATCTTTTCAACTTAATGCCATCTTTCGTGAATCTCTCGAACGAAAATAAAATTCAAATGATAATAAAGAAAATTTAAACTATTAGGAATTCGACAAAAATTAATAGTTAGAATTAATAAACTTAACTAACATTCGATTGTAATTTAAAATTTAAATATTAATTGTATTTTTTTCTGAATAAAATTTATTTTCAATATTTAAATATGATATGAGGCCTAACAAGGATGGGCGAAAGTTTATTATAAAAAATAATTGTGGATTTATGTAAAAAAAAAAATAACATCTTTACTAGAATCTTAGTGAAAAATAAATTTGATTCAAATTCTATTATTCTATTTCAAATTCTATTATAAATAGCCATTTATTTATCATATGAAATTATCTTTACTGTCGATAATATCTTTTGGGATAAATTACTTCGAGTTATATCCGAATGGCAAGAGATGGCAGTAGTAAGTAAAAACTATTTCTCTTTATTTAAATATATTATAATAATTTTTATTTTTTTTATAAGTGCCCAAATTTTTAAGCTATGAATTTTTAAAAATTTGAGTTTTTTTTAGATTTTTGAAAATTAGACCTAATTTCAATCCTAACTCTTTGGGCACGATTTTTTTTTATTAGTTTTACATACCTACCTGGAAATACTAAGAATATTTTTCAAAAAGTTTTAAAGTGGACCAGCTGATCCTTTTTAATTTGTTTAAAAAAAAATTTTTTTTATTTTAAGAAATTTTTTTTTTTTTTGGCCCACACTAAAACTTTTTGCAAAATATTCTAATTATTTTCAGATATGTAAAAATAAGAAAAAATTAATTTGTTCATAAAAAAATCATTATTTTTTTTATAAAAATTCAAAAAATATCATAGACATAAGTTTTATATGAAATATAATCAAAAAAAATATAAACAAAAACAAAATGAACTGTTAACCTATTTATAAACAATCATGACATTTTTGTCAAAGAGAATTTTTTTAATTTCATTAACGATATTTTTACATATTACATATATTGAAAAAGTTGAATCGTTTGGAAAATTTCGACATGAAAGATATAATAATAATAATAATCAATTGAATGATAAAAAAGAATGTAACTTAAGTGATAAAAAAATGAAAAATTTTCCCATAGTAAATAATAAAATGGAAACCAATGAAAATACTTACATTGATCCTCATTATAATTGCAATAGACCCGAAAAAAATTTTATTCAAAAAATTTCTTATCAATCAATAACTTCATCATATTTTTCTCATTCTTGTGGCATTATCGATGTTAATCTTTCATCAGCTTGCATCAGATGTGAAATGTGTCTTGCCATTGCTCAGCAGGTTTTTGCGAATTTTTCCATATTATTCTAATTATTTCTCTTATATTCAATGCCCCTCTGTATTAAATAAGGTTATATAATATTTTTTTATTTTCTACATTTCAAATAATTAATAATTTAATAAAATTGAAAATATATTTAAAAATTATAATGTGAGATTTTTTAAATAATTTAATTAAAAAAAATAATTTAAAAAACAAAAATTATCTCCTCTTATTTATAGATAAATCAAACACTAATTGATATTCACGAATCAATGATACCACTTCTCTGGCTTAATGAAACAGAAGCCTCTAATCTTTTAAGAACAATTTGCAACGATTCATTCAAACAGTAATTTTTTTTTCCTTCCTTCAAAAAATTTTATATTCTTTGGTTCATTTTTCTCTTGTATGAGATATTTTTGTCCATCTTTGATAAAAAGTAATTTTATTGAATTTACCTTTATTACTTTGCATTCATTTTTGCTTTGAAAAAGTAAATTCAAATAAAATAAAAAATTTTATGAAACGAATGTATATAATTTTTTAATCCCTTGACAGTCGATGGCCCACAAATGTCCAAAAAAATTCGTGCCTCCTTTGAGATTTTGAACATTTATATGTCCACATTAGAAAATAAAATAATAAATATAATTCGATTTAAGTATCAATAGATATACTAAAGGTTTCGGGATCGCTGAATCCGAATTTGAGGTCAGATTTAAAAAATTCAAAATGGCGAACCCAATATGGCGGAAAAATTTAAAATAGATTTGATTCGTTCAAAATTTGGTTTTTGGGGGTTTTTGGGGTCATTGAATCCAAATTTGACCGCAAATTTGGATTCAGCGACCCAAAAAACCCCCAAGTACCGAATTCTGAATGAATCGAAACAATTTTAAATTTTTCCGCCATATTGGATGGCCATATTGAGTCCGCCATTTTGAATTTTTAAAATCTGACATCAAATTTGGATTCAGCGAACCCAAATACCACCGAGTACCAAATTTTGAACGAATCGAATCAACTTCAAATTTTTTCCGCCATATTGGGTCCGCCATTTTGAATTTTTTAAATGTGACCTTAAATTTGGATTCAACGACTTCAAAATCTTTTAATACGATGATATGAAATTTTTTTGGACCGTTTTGGGCCTACAAACGATTTTTCTACTAGACTGCGAAGGGTTTAATTTGGACTAATTATTTTTATTTAATTCTTATTTCATCTAATTTTTATAGATAATTGATTTTAATTAATTAAAAATTAAATAAATTATCGAAGTTTCAGTTTACGTTCTCTCAATGGAAATTATCAGATTTGCGATCGACAACCGGGTGCAACTCTTGTTACAACGTCTGTTGATGGTCTTTGGGAAAAACAGTGAGTAAATAAAAAAAAAAATTTTGTCTTTTTAATAAAACAATAAATAGAAAAACATATTGCAGATTAAGAGTGTTCAACGATCTCTGAAATTCTTTGACAAAAAGGGACCTTTAATTATCGCCTTATAAAAACGGCACTGAACGTGAAAACACTTTTTTCTCGAATTAAGGACACATTTTATAAAATCGGCCAAAATAATAAGATTTCTTATCTTATAAATTTCCTAAATCCAAAAGATTTTTCGAATCCATACAAAAACGCGATCGCAAAATTGGAAATAGGAAAGTAATATAATAACAACTTTATTACGTCCTGCCGCCGTTAGATGTCAGAAGCATACAGGGAGCACAAAGTCGCAGCTTTCATTATATTACTTTTCTATTTCCAATTTTGCTACATTGTTACATTATTCTATTTTTGCATTTCTAACACTTAATAAAAAATATCAATGAATAGACAGGAAGGTATAATAAATAAAAGAATGATTAACATTATCACAGAAAATTAAAAGGCATTAAAATAAGCTGCAACGCTTATTATTTTAATCCAATTTTGCTTAATTTAATACCAAAATGGATTAAAATAAGCAAAATTGGATTAAAATAATAAGCGTTGCAGCTTATTTTAATGCCTTTTAATTTTCTGTGATGCTGCATAACCTCACTTTTTTGTTGGTTGTTCGCTTCTTACTGCATCTAGAAAAATTATATATTTTTCTCACAGACTAATAAATATTTATTTGAATCAAATAAATTTTTATTTGATTTAAATAAAAAATTTTATTCAAGCCAAATAAATTGGCTATAGTAGGCTGTGAGACAAATATACGGTGTCCCTACGATTTTGAGATTGTTATAAATTATTATTTGACAATTAAAAAAAATGAATTAAAATTCCAGCATTATAAATTTTTACTTATTAAATAAAATAGTATTCTTAAATATTTTCAATGAAATTCATGATAATTTAGAAACTATTTTAAATTTTTTATGAAACATTCATTCTCTTAGGCTTCAGATTCGTACAACTAGTAACAAAAATTCTGCCCTGCTTTTACAAAAAATGTTCATTTATTAGCAACTTTCATTTAAACAATACATTATATATCCAAGCTGCACGGTATATCTCCGTATATCTCCCTGCATGCTTCTGCCATCTGACGGCGGCAGGACGTAACAAAACGTAAACAAATACTTCAAGTAATATTTTAATATAATTTCAATATTCAGGTATACAAAAGGACAACTAATACAATAGGGTGTCATAAATGGTTTATTATGACTAGACTTCTAGTCGACTCTATCTCCTTATTTTTCATTTGAAATATTTAATATTATTTAATTAAATATTTAAACACAAATTAACTTTTCGACCACAAAAAAATGTCTACCCTTTAAAATTGTTATAAAAAATATTGTATAATATTTATATAAATATTATATATATATAAATTATATATAAAAAGTTGTTTTTCAATAAATTTTCTTATTTTTTAAAACAATTTTTATAAACAAAAATAAACAGTACGATCAATTTTAATCAGAAATTAATCAAATTTTTTACAATTAATATTAAATTTAAGTCGCTATTATAAAAAAAAATTTTGCAGATAATTTTATGATTTAAATATAAACAAAATCTTATAAACAATTACATATTTCGCCTGTTTGTGTGCAAAAAAATTTGTGCTTTTTTATAAATTTGCAAGGGATTTTTGTGCTTATAAGTTTCCTTATAATTAAACAAATGTTTTGCGATAAATTTCCTCATATTTTTTAACAATTTATTTAAGGGTATGTCCAACATGTGAAATGTAAACAAACATGAAATGTAAACAAACCATGCACATTTTTTCGCAGTTCTCATTTGCGTAGAAAATAAAAATTTGTCGTTTTCTTTATGAAAATGGTAAATTAATGTATTAAAGTTTGTTACTATACTTTATTTAACTAATTATATGAAAAAATAAGTACAATTATAATGAAATGAAAAGTGCACTGAATTAGCAATTTTTTCAAGGTTTCGAAAAAAAAACCATTTGAGTTCAAATTTTTATTTTCTATTCAAATGAGAACTGCGAAAAAACTGTTCAAAATCTAAACAAATCATACCCATTTTTTCGCAGTTCTCATTTGAATAGAAAATAAAAATTTGTAACTTTCTTTGTGAAAATGGTAAATTGATATATTGTATTAGGTTACTATACTTCTTTTAACAACTTTTCTGAACAAATAAGTATAATTATAATAAAATGAAAAGTACACTGAATTAGCAATTTTCTCATTTTTTTCGCACTTCTCATTTGGGTAGAAAATAAAAATTTTTCGTTTTCTTTGTGAAAATGGTAAATTTATATATTAGACTAGGTAACTATACTTTATTGAACTAATTATGTGAACAAATAAGTATAATTATTATGAAATGAAAAGTACACTGAAATATGAATTTTTTCAAAGTTACGAAAAATTTAAGCATTCGAGTATATCTGAGGCACGGACGTTGAGGACCTAGGTGGGAGAAAGTGAGAGAAGGGGTAAAATTTCAGAATTTTACCCTTTCCAAGATGTGACCGTCCAATGGCTCAACATTCTTCTCCCACCTAGGCGCTCAACGTCCGTGCCTCAGATATACTCAAATGGTTTTTTTTTCGAAACCTTGAAAAAATTGCTAATTCAGTGCACTTTTCATTTCATTATAATTGTACTTATTTTTTCATATAATTAGTTAAATAAAGTATAGTAACAAACTTTAATACATTAATTTACCATTTTCATAAAGAAAACGACAAATTTTTATTTTCTACGCAAATGAGAACTGCGAAAAAATGTGCATGGTTTGTTTACATTTCATGTTTGTTTACATTTCACATGTTGGACTTGCCCTTAACCAAATACACTGTCCGAAATTTTTTGTCAGAAATTAATTGAATTTTTAATCTGCTCTGCTTTTACAAAAAATGTCCATTTATTAAATTTAGCAACTTTTATTTAAACAATGCTTATATTTTTTTTAGAAATAAGTCATGTTTAATATAATTAATTAATTATTAATATTAAAATCTCTGTCTGTAATATAATAATAGTTGCGATTTTATGCTCCCTGCATGCTTCTGCCATCTGACGGCGGCAGGACGTAACGAAACGTAAACAAATACTTCAAGTAATATTTTAATATAATTTCAATATTTAGGTATACAGAAGGACAACTAATACAATAGGGTGTCATAAATGGTTTATTATGACTAGACTTCTAGTCGACTCTATTGTTTTTATGTCCCCTTTTTTCATTACCTACTTTACTTTCAGAATATTTAATATTTTAAATTAATATTTAAACACAAATTAACTGTTTGACCACCAAAAAAAGTTTGTACCTTTTCAAAATTGTCCCAAGTAGCACGTAATATTACAGCAATATTGTATTATAAATATGTTATAAGAAAAGAAATCTTGGTACGTTGGCTGATTTTATAAAAAGTGTCCATAATTTAATAAGAAAGTGTTTTAAAATCAATGTTTATCATTTTTAAGTTCAGTTCCATTTTTATAGGGCGATAATTAAATACCAAATTTCAGAGACCTTTGAACACTCTTCGAGTGTTTTATAAGATTTTTATTTAGTATTTATTTTGTACTGAAGCATAGAATTAGAATAAACTGAAAATAATTTTCAAACAATTAAATTTAAAAATTTTCAAAACAAAATATGCCACAGTATTGACAATTGTTGAAATTTTACACCGAAATAATATCAAAACATAACCTCAATCGTGGATGTACTCTATTTAAGAGTTGTGGTGAACCAGTTAATTTTAATAATTTTTTAACAGAGTACATACACGTGATTGAAGTTATGTTTTGTTATAATTCCAGTGAAAAATTTCAGCAATTGACAATATTGTGGGTATACTATGTACATAGACCAACACTATGATCGCTACAAATTTTTTTTCCTGTTATAGACGCAGCCTCAAACACCCAGAAAAAATATTTAAAAAAAAATGTTTTCTTTAATTTTACTTTTTGAATCAAAGATAAAATTTGTTTAAATTAAAACACAGTAAACTTGGTTGTCTCTTTTTCTATTGCAACGTTTTGATGCACATAAGTTATATCAAAAAGAGATCGTATTGTGTATCATTTTTAGAAATGATACACGAAACGGTCTCATTTTTTGATGCAAAAAATTTAATCAATTTATATCAATCATGGCCGAATTGAATCGACTCAAAATTGAACGAATTTTTTTCAGATATTTTGGTAATAGTACAATTGCGGAGACCATTTCACTATTTAATTTGAAAATGAAAATAACAGAAAATCAAAGACAATGTGCAATTCGATAATTAAAAAGTGACAGCTTACAAACATAACCTAAAATGCATGAGAAAAAATTTGTCGATAAAATCAATATAGCCGAGATTTTTAGAAGGTAGATGGCAGCACTCATCTATTTTCTTTCTTTAAATTTTTTCTGAATCGTTTTTATAAAAAGCAAAACTGCCATCTACCTTCTAAAAAGCTTGGCTATATTGATTTTATCGACAAATTTTTTCTCATGCATTTTAGGTTATGTTTGTAAGCTGTCACTTTTTAATTATCGAATTGCACATTGTCTTTGATTTTCTGTTATTTTCATTTTCAAATTAAATAGTGAAATGGTCTCCGCAATTGTACTATTACCAAAATATCTGAAAAAAATACGTTCAATTTTGAGTCGATTCAATTCGGCCATGATTAATATAAATTGATTAAATTTTTTGCATCAAAAAATGAGACCGTTTCGTGTATCATTTCTAAAAATGATACACAATACGATCTCTTTTTGATATAACTTATGTGCATCAAAACGTTGCAAAGATTTGATGCAATTTTTGGTCTCAATTTGAGACTTTTAGGAAAACTGTGAAATTATTCTTTGCTTAAGAAAAAGAAATTTTTAAGTATTTTGAATCAAAGAAATTTTTTTATTGAATGATTTTTTTAACCTAAAGAAACATTTCTTTGAATCCAAGAAATATTTCTTTCGAACTTAAGTACACTGAGTTGCCACGACTGCGTTTGCGCAGACTACGTAGTAAACAGCTGTGTGTGCCGCATGGAAGCGTGTTCAATTTTTCATGGCGTGATAATTATCGGATTTATGTTCTAAACAGTTTTGTATTTATAGCTAAGTTTTGTTTCAGATTTTCTTACAGTGAGTGATAAAGAAGTTTGTGAATATTGTTCGTGTCTTAGCGATTTACGAGTGATATGTGAAAATAGTGATTTGCAGTGTATATTGATTTGTTTTCTTCGTGATCAAAATTCTGCCATGAAGTTTTGTTTAGTGTTTTACGTGTATAACTTTTTTGAAATATATATTTCAAGTATTTCAAAAATATTTAATTAATTTAATATTTTTATATTTTAATCAAAATACGAACGCGTATATACAATCTCAGAACGAAATATAAATATATTTTTCATTTAAAGAAATTTGTGCATTAAAATAAACATTTATTTCTTTTCAAATAAAAAATTTTGTAAAATCAAAGAAATATTTCTTTGAGAGTCAACAAAAAATAAGAAATAATTTCTTTAAATCATAGAAATTTTTCTTTGACCCTATTACAATTTCTTTGATGCGCAAAGAAACTTTTTTCTGGGTGAATAACGACAAGAAAACAAAACAAAGTGACAGCTTCGGCAACCATGTTTATTTGCATATATATATATATAGTTGGATACTGTCAGCAGTCAGCGCTGTACTAACATGTAGTTATATCTTTAACCGGTCGGTAATATAGAAAGTTTAAAAAAATTAAATTTACAAATTTGAAAAAAATAAACGTGTGACATCGAGATTAGATCGAAAGTACTGAATAACACATAAATCATGAAAATATGACTTATCGTTTTCGAGAAATCGGCATCGATATGAACGCCAATTTTTTTTTTTTTTCAAAAATTTTTGAAAATCTAATTTTTAATTATAGTTTAAGAAACAAGTGTCATCATTATCTCGATGAAATGAATCCAATCCGACTATATGAACAATGGAAAAAATGGTGCGATAGTGCAGATGATGAGCAAGGAGCAGAAGATTTATCAACTACTTTATGCAGGTGTGTACGTGTTCCTTTAAAATTTATATTTTATAGAAATTGTAAATTCCTTTTGTGGTACTTATTCTTAAATTTTTAAGTACTTTAAGGTTATGTGATACTCAAAAGTAGTACACTGTAAAAAATCTATTTGGAGATTGTACATTCACAATTTGTATTTGTGTTAAAATTTGTAAAATTACTATATTCAATAAGGTTATGTTACTACATTAAAAAAAGCACTTTTACAATTTTCTGTAAATTTACTACTTTCAAAGTGGATAATAGGTGACGGATGCAACAACTAATTATGTTTCACCTATTACCCACTTTGAAAGTAGTAAATTTACAGAAAATTGTAAAAGTGCTTTTTTTAATGCAGTAACATAACCTTATTGAATATAGTAATTTTACAAATTTTAACACAAGTACAAATTGTGAATGTACAATCTGCAAAAAGATTTTTTACAGTGTACCTATAAAGATTCATTGTCATGTAATGTAATAAAGAAATAATAATTATTATTACTATTTCTTTATTACATGACAACGAATTTTTATACTATTTTTGAGTTTACCTCAAAATGTTAGCTGAATTTAATAAGTATTTTACAATTAAAATCTGCGGAGAATATTTTACGTGTAAAATCACAACAATCACATAACCTTAAAATTATTTTTTATCATTTTTTTTACCTACTTCTTATTTAATATAATTAGAGATGATACAACATTTTTTCGAGATTGTAAAAGTATCGAAGAAAATGATTATAAGAAGCCTAATGCACCGTCAGAAGATTTTGAAACTCATGTAAAAATCTTAGCAGAAATTAAATGGAAATAGTTTATAGTAAATGTATATAAATAACAATAATTATACAAATACAAGAAAAAAGGAAGGAATGAAAGAAAATTTTTATTTAAAATCGAATACATTTTTTTTAATATTTAATTTGAATATAATATTTAAAAAAAATTAAAGGTGAAGAAAGTAACTTCCATTATTATTTTTTACTTTTTAATATATATTTTTTTTAAACTATTTGCAAGTTCACAAAATTATTATCGAATGCATAGTTTCATGTACTCAACAATTTTGTGAAAGTCGTTCGTGTGATAACAAAATTCAAGGACAATTTAATTTTTAATGTTATATATTTGTAATAGTTGCACTGACGTCATTGTTGATAATGTTTCGTGAAAGAAGGGTAAAAAAAACAAAAACATGATTTTTTTTATATGTATAATTGATTTTATAATGTATTATGTAATTATAACATTTATAATTTTATAATAATATACTAAGTGTATATTATTGACTCAAATTTTTTTACCATTTTGTACCCTTCAAAAAAGAGCTTCATGATTTTTTAAAAAAAAATTTCTTCAAGCCGCTTACGAGATATGAATTTTTCAAAATTGGAGAATTTTAATTATTTTTTATTTTTAAATGCTCATAACTTTCTTAAAAATACATCAATTTAAAAATTTTCTTTTAAAATGTGTGTTTTTAACTCAACTTTTCAAAAATTTCATTCAACAAATTATAAAATTAAAATTTACTATATTTTTGTAATTTAAAAGTTAAAATCTTGTTTTTAAAACTGTTTGTATCTTTCGATTTTTTTCTAAAAATTTTCAAAAAAACTACTTCCAGTTACAAAAATTTTAAGCCTAGTCCGATGGTGGGGAATCAATTTTTTCAAAATTTTTTTGTTTATTTTTTTTTAAATATCTCCGGTTTTGTTTTATACTACGTACTTTTATGTATTTTAATGCGCTGATTACGAAAATCATATGGACAGTACCCAAAAAATTTGATTTTTATTTTGAAAACCATAAAAAAAGTTCTAATATTTATTTTTTATGGTTTTCACCATAGAAATTAAATTTTTGGGTATTGTCACTATGATTTTCATAATCAGCGCATCAAAATACATTTTTTATGTCTTATGCTTTTTTTTAATATTTTATATTTTACCCAAAAAACGAAAAAAAAACCGTAAATTTTAGAACTTTTTTATGGTTTTCATAATAAAAATAAAATTTTCGGGTAAAATACGAAAAATTAAAAAATAGTACGACACATAAAAAATATATTTTTTTGCGCTGATTACGAAAATCATAGTGACAATACCCAAAAATTTAATTTGTATGGTGAAAACCATAAAAAAAGTTCTAATATTTATTTTTTATGGTTTTCACCATAGAAATTAAATTTTTGGGTATTGTCACTATGATTTTCATAATCAGCGCATCAAAATACATTTTTTATGTCTTATGCTTTTTTTAATATTTTATATTTTACCCAAAAAAACGAAAAAAAACGTAAATTTTAGAACTTTTTTATGGTTTTCATAATAAAAATAAAATTTTCGGGTAAAATACGAAAAATTAAAAAATAGTACGACACATAAAAAATATATTTTGTTGCGCTGATTACGAAAATCATAGTGACAATACCCAAAAATTTAATTTTTATGTTAAAAACCTTAAAAAAACAATATATTTTAGGACTTTTTTTATAGTTTTCACCATAAAAATCAAATTTTTTGGGTATTGTCACTATGATTTTCGTAATCAGTGTATTAAAATACATAAAAATACGTAGAGTATAAAACAAAACCGGAGATATTTAAAAAAAATTCAAAAAACAAAATTTTGAAAATATTGAAAAAATTTGTTTCCCCACGATCAGACTAGGCTTAAAATTTTTGTAACTGGAAGTAGTTTTTTTTGATATTTTTTAGAAAAAAATCGAAGGATACAAACAGTTTTAAAAACAAGATTTTAACTTTTAAATCACAAATAATATAGTAAATTTTAATTTTATAATTTGTTGATTGAAATTTTTGAAAAGTTGATTTAAAAACACACATTTTGAAAAAAAAAATTTTAAATTGATGTATTTTTAAGAAAGTTATGAGCATTTAAAAATAAAAAATAATTAAAATTCTCCAATTTTGAAAAATTCATATCTCGTAAGCGGCTTGATGAAAAAATTTGAAAAAAATCATGAAGCTCTTTTTTGAAGAGTTAAAAATGATAAGAAAATTTGAGTCAAATCGAAGAGGTCAAAGTCGACGATATATTGGTTTATCATTGACCGTCCCATATACAGTGTCGCTCAGTAGATTTTGACCACCCTACAGAATTTTAGGCGTTTGCAAAAAGTTTTATACTTTTGTTTCTAATAAAGATAAAACAATAAACAAAGACTTTTTTTAAAGCTTATATCCCATAGTTTTAGAATATCTAAAAAGTGAATTTAAAAAAAAAAATTATTGTTTAATTGCTCTTATTAATAAACAAAATTTTCCATTTTTTTGGCAAATTTTAAACTTATATATTTTTTTAACAAATCATCACATTTTAATTGCACAGATATCATTTGAAAGGTAATTTTATCACCTTTAAAGAGCTATTTTGAAAATTGTGATACGATCATTTTTAACAACAAACAAACAAACCAATTTTTTTTAAAAAACAACCGTTTTCGACTTATTATTAATTAAAAAAAGGGCTGTTTTTTAAAACAATTGACCATATCTTTGTTAAAAATGATCGTATCACAATAAAAGGTGATAAAATTACCTTTCAAATGATATTTGTGCAATTAAAATGTGATGATTTGTTAAAAAAATATATTAGTATCATTACAGGGTGATTTTTATGTTCCGGACCCTCTAATTTTTTTATCTCATTTTTTTCGTTTGTTAAACAAAAAAAATGTGTAATTAAAAAAAATTTAGGGGGTCTGGAACATATTAATCACCCTATATTTTCATATCTCGAAGGGCGCAAAAATTTTTACTGAATTCAAATTTTTTATACTAGTTTAAAAAAAAACCATTCAAAAAATCATGTTTTTCGAAATTTTTGATTTTTAAAACATCAGTAACTCGGCAATATTTGATCGTGAAAGGTCCGTAAATAGGTCAATTTATGTGTTTTTAAATATAGGAGAATGTAGTCATGAGTGAACCACGTTTTGTTTTTCATGTACAACTTCTTTTGCAGTAAATTTAATTAGCTAACTTCAATAACACCGTTGGATAGGTAGTGAGCAAAGCTATAAGTTACATGTATTTAGAATTTTTTTTTACTGTCATAGAAAAACTTTTTTTAACGTTTTTTAAAAAGTGTTTTTTTCAACTTTTTTTTGTAGTCATCTGTGGACCACCCTGAGAAAATTATCTTAAAACTTCTCAAAATACATTAAGTATCACATAATTTAAATATTTATTGAATAATTATTTATTTAAAATACTTTTTAATGAAAATGTTATAAAGAAAATATTTTAATTATTAAATGCTGTTTTATTGAACTGTTTCGTGACTGGAATTTTTAAATGACACAAATTCTAATTAATCGAATTTTCAAGACGCCGAATTTTCATTTGTCCGAAATTACAAATGTCCGAACAAACAATCAAGAGAAAGATTTCGACGCAATTTTTAGAATTGATCAATCACGATATTCTTGACAATTTCTAATTGGTTAATTTTAAAAATTGCGCCAAAATCTTTCTGTAGATTGTTTGTTCGGTCATTTATAATTTCGGACAAATAAAAATTCGGCGTCTTAAAAATTTGTATAAATTAAAAATTCGGACAAATTAAAATTCGGTGAATTGGAATTTCTGTCATTTAAAAATTCAATTCACATAAAATTCTATTGAATGAGAAATCTGTAAAATAAAAATTTTTTTAAATAAAAAGTCATGTAAAGAAAATGACTGTAAAATAAAAATTCATGCCAAACAAAAATTCGATAGCTAAAAATTTTATTAAGTAAAAATTCATATAAATTTCAGACAAATGAAAATTCTATGGCTAGTACTGCTGAATTTAAGACTAATCTTAAAATAAGATTTACTTTTTACAGTGCAATAAAAATTCTTTAAAATGCCTATTATGTTAAATGAAAATTCGAGCAAATAAAAATTCTAACGAATAAAAATTCGAACAAATAAAAATTCTGTGAAGTGAATTTTCGGTTATATAAAAATTCTGTAATATAGAAAATCGTTTTAATAAATATTCTGCAAAAAACTAATTCGAAGAAATAAAAATTCGTCTCCAAAATAATTATGACAAATGAAATTCGATAAAATGAAAATTCTAACTAATAATTTTTAGAACAGAATTAAGTTTCCCGATTTTTATGGGAAAATCATGTCCCCCAAAAAAACACTTTCAATTAACTTTAGTGACGATTTGTAATCATTATAATTATTATTATATTATAACTGAAAAGGAATAATTCGATTTGCATCCTGATTATTATTATTCTTATAATTCAAAAAACCATCTTGACGAATTTTATTCCTTTTTCTAGTTAATTGCTTTTGCGTTTGTTTAAATTCTAAATTTGTTTCAAGTCGATTAGAAATTGTTGATAAATCCGAAGGTGCTTTTCTAAGTGACCATCCAGTTTGAGATGGTGTTTGTGGTTCATGATGATGATGATGATGATCATCTACTATTTGTTCTGAAAGTCGTGAATGATTGTCTCTTCGATGAACATGAATACTACGTATAATTTGCTCTTGAACAATTGTTCTTTTATTCCATAATCTTTCAAGTAGACATAGTCCTAATGAGACGATCATTCCGACAAAAAGAACACAAAATGCCGTGTAAACATCCACAAGACTTGCACTATTAAAACTTGAATTATCTGTACATTTTGGCATTTCAGGTAACATTCTTTCTTTAACCCTGTCCAATATTCCATTCTCAAGATTACGAAAGATACTGTAAATAATAATAATAATTATTTTTTTGGCACATGAGAATATTCAACAAATCTAACTTTACATACTGCCGTACGATGTAAAAACTTAGTTAAGTCATATTTTTGACAAAAATGAGTTTTTGGTATCAATGGATTCGTAAGAAAAAACTGCATCTGATTAAGTTATTAAAAATTTTTTATTTTAATTATTTATTGCAAAAAATAGTTATTAAAAATGTACAAAAACCCAGAAAATGAAAGAATACTTGATAAAAACTCAGTTAACTCGAGTTGAGTAGTCCAAAAATCGTAGGAAGCGTTGAGATCGAGCATAAGATACGAAATAAAAACTTAGTTAACTCGACTTGAGTGTTTTCTCTTTCGAAAAGTGTCATGAGCCGGACACTGCATTTCGATGGGAGCAAGCGTAAGTCAACTTCGTTAAAGTTCGGATTTTCGTCGGGTGAATTCGGAATCCCATGCATTTAGCTTGAGTTAACTAAGTTCTTACTTCTGAACGAAGGCTTGCGCTCGCCTACCTTTTCGAAAAGCACTACGTAACTCGAGTTAACCAAGTTTTGCTTTTAAAAAATAAAACGTAAGTCAATTATTTAATATAATTTGTTTAAATAATTAACTTTTGACTTCAGAATTAAAAAGAACTCTATCAAATTACCTAGGAAGTGAAGTTAGATTAAAGAATTATTTATATTACATTAGGTTTTTAAATACAAACAGTTTTTCGTCATTTTCCCCGTTCGAACAAAATATGACTTAACTAAGTTTTTATTTCGCACGGCAGCATAAATCTAATTTTAATTTGCCATAATTTTTACTTAGCATAATTTTCATTTACCGAAAGTAGGCTTAAAACTTGTTTTCCATAAATTTTGATTTAAAATAAGTCTTCCCAGATAACACGTAAGCTTACAGCAACCTTGCGGTAAGCTTGCCGCGCAATATTGCCTAAATAACCTTGCTACCTACAATTTTTTTTTTAAATGTTTCGTCTAATTTATATAATAAAATTTATACAATAAAATTATATAAATTAGACAAAACAAAAAAAAAATTTTTAGATTCAAAGTAAGGTTATATGGCTACCTTGCACCAACCTTACTACAAGCTTACCGTGCAAGCTTACTGAGCAATCTTGCGATAATCTTATTGTGCAATCTTGCAGTAACCTTACATTGCAATCTTACGGTAAGCTTACCATGGAAGTTTTTGATCAGGTGGGACAATTGAAGTTTGCAGTAAGCTTGCGGTAAGTTTGCCGTGAAAGCTTGGCAATATTGCGTGGCAAGCTTGCCGCAAGGTTGCTGCAAGCATACATGCTATCTGAGTTTCTTGAAATAAATGTCGTTTGACATAATTTTTATTTGGCATAAATTTCATTTTCTCTAAGTCTTATACTTGAGATAAAGCTTGTTTTTCATAAATTTCATTTGACAAAAGACTCACTTAACATAATTTTTATTTGGCATAAATCTCATTTGGCATAAACTTTATGCGGGAAGCATCATTATGTTCTAAAAATAATTAATTAGAATTTTTATTTTATGGAATTTCATTTGTCATAATTATTTTTGAGCCGAATTTTACCATTGGTCAGTAAGGTAGATTTCTGTGTCGGTATTTTTTAAACGAAAAATCTTTTAACAGAATTTCTAATTGATAGAATTTTCATTTGTCCGAAATTGCAAATGGCCGAACAAACAATCGACAGAAAAAATTCAGCGCGATTTTTAAAATCAACCAATCAAAAATTATCCATAAAATTTGAATTCGTTGATTTTAAAAATCGCGCTAAATTTTTTCTGTCGATTGTTTGTTCGGTCATTTGCAATTTCAGACAAATGAAAATTCTATCAATTAGAAATTCTGTTAAATTATTTTTCGGTTATGTAAAAATTCTGTATTATAAAGAAGCAAAAAATTATAGGTTACGTTTAGAAATTTTAAAGTGAAAATACACAAAGACGTTCAACTCGTAATGCAAACTAATGATATTTAGGTCTTCATTGCATCCAAAATATTCAATAAAAACTGATTTCAGTTATACAAAAACAAAAATAAACTTTTAGTTCAAGTAAAACTATTGTAAACATAACCAATAATTCATTTGCTTCTAAGGTCCCTTTCTTCAGATCGCGTCACAATTATAATAATTCGAACAAATGAAAATTCATCTGAAAGAATAAAATGAAAATTCTATGCAAAGAAATTCTACTTAATAAAAATTTTTTAAAATGCCTATTATCTTAAATGAAAATTCGAGAAAATAAAAATTCGAACAAATAAAAATTCTGTGAAGTGAATTTTCGGTTATATACAAATTCTGTAATATAGAAAATCGTTTTGATGAAAATTTTGCAAAATACTAATTCGAACAAATAAAAATTCGGCTCAAAAATAATTATGACAAATGAAATTTCATAAAATGAAAATTCTAACTAATGATTTTTAGAACATAATCATGCGTCCTGTTATTTGAATCTTTATCTTAATGTCAATGACAAATGAAAAAGATGTGAACATAAAGAATTTGTATAGGAAATATTTCTATGACTCGATATTTCAATATTGAAACCTTTTCTTTGGTTAGATTTTTTAAGATTTAGTCACATTTCACTGTAATAATTATTCACACTTATATATATATATATATAGATATTACCTCAAATTAATGATTTTTTTATATGGACACGAATATGCCATGGGAAGAGCGACAAATGAAAAAGTTTTTTCAATTTGTAATTCCTTTAAACTACATTGATTTGGAATTAATGTTTTTTGAAGTATTTTTCTTGCGTCTGCAGCGCCAACAAAAAATCCATAATTCCCCTTAATTGCCTTCTCAATACCAACAATTGTCTCTAAACGTGATTCACGATTATCAAATGCTTTGATGTACAATTTTCGAAGATTAGAGTCATTTGAAACCTGTTGATGATGATGAAATTTAAATAAATTTAAAATATTCAAAAAGAATGAAGAAATATGTATTTCCTAATTGAAAATATATTAAGTATAGAAAATATATATATTAATATATGCGTGTAAATTTAACAAATGTGAAATGGCTATTCATTGTCAGTGTCAAGGTAAACAAGTTAATAGTATTGTGCGTTTAAACGTTTGTTATTGCTTTTATACTTATTACTCGTTTGCGAGTGTTCTGGTTCGTTGATTACAAATTTGCCATCGGATATTCATTATTCAAAATTACGAATACAATTTAGTGGAATTTTTTTTAAATTCGTTTGTTTTCATTTTGAAATTCTTTTATTAGAGATTTTAAAAATTGTTGATTACGAATCTTAAATAAAATTTCGATTTAAAGACGACGAAAATTTTCAAAGTAACAAGATTTAAGTGAATTTATAAAAAATCTTTCGCCATATTGGATCCGCCCTTTTAAATTTTGAAAAATAGACACCGGATTCATAATGAACGACCTCAAAAACTCCCGAGTAACAAATTTCAAGCAAATCAGATCAATTTTCAAAAAATCTTCCACCATATTGGATCCGCCATTTTGTATTTTGAAAAACTAACATCGGATTCGTAATTAGCGATTCCAAAAACCCCCAAGTAACAAGTTATAATCGAAATCGGAAAATTTTAAAAATATCTTCCGCCATATTGAAAATCTAACATCCGATTCATAAATCAAAGTAATATTGCAGTGTGAAATAGCGATGCTTTAAGGGACAGTCCAAGTTGTGAAATATAAAAAATCTAAAATTAAATTAAAAATATTTTTTCTCTATGTAAAAATGGAAAATTGATATATATAAAACTACAGAATGACACCTTATTTGACTACCTTTCATTTTATTATAATCAAACTTAGATATACGTATTATTAAGCAAATAAAATGTCATCCTGTAGTTTTATATATAAATTTTCCAATTTCACTTAGAGAAAGAAAAATTTTTATTTTGTATTTTAATAAAGGCTGCCACAAATCAGTCAATAATATTGCTTATATTTTCGGTTCGTTTAAATTTTATAACTTTGATTGGCCCCTAAAATTTGTTATGCTTTCATTCTTAAACTTTGTAAATAATTCTTTTACATGCAAATGTGTCTGTAAGCAATTTTATTATAAACATTACTCGAATATATTCATCTTCATTGATGCTGTATCCCAATTTAAATGAATTATACTGTAGTAGATCGTCAAGTGTTCTGATACCATTGTGTTGAACCGAAAGAATAGAAGTTATAAAGCCAGAATATGCATTGTAAATTACCAATGCAAAAAATAAACTACATAGAAGTACAGTTTTTCCTGATAATGTTTTTGGTGTCCATGGAGAACCTAAAATCAATTTTGGAAAAAAAATAATATTTCTGTTTTTCCTTCTCTTCTAATCGTTAATTGAGCAATTTGGTGTAATATGAAACAAAGAAAAAAGATGCATGAATTTAGATCAAAACTTCTTTACTCAACGACAGTTTTGCTTGTTAAATTAAACTGACGAAAAGTCCAAAGTCAACCAAGGTCAAACAAAAGAAAACAAAAAAATTAAAATATCAAAGAGTCACGTAGATACAGTTTTTCTATTAATTTAATTTCCTCGACTTTTTTTTCGTAATATTTTCAATATACTCAATTTTTTAATAAATAATAATAATTTATTGAATTACAAAAAATGTAACATGTCTGATGCGTGTCGTAAAATTGAAAAATAGAAAATAAGTCGATTCTACTGCGGACGGTAATGAAAGGCTTCAGTATCCCCACCACCAACCTACTGCGCGCTCAGTGTTTCCCCTACTAGAGGACCGAATACCCCTTCCTACTCGTGATTCGTTGTATAAATATCGACCGTTCAGCAGTGGATCGGTCAGTTCGTTTTGTCTTGTCCTCTTGAGAGTTTTATTCGAAACTTGATTTTTTTAACGTATCTTCTTTTATTAATTAATAACAAATGTTAATACCTTGCATACACATAATGCTTAAACACCAAAGTGTTGCTTCTCCAAGTCCTGCCTCTCTTTCTTGAATATTACGCAAAACTTCTTTTACAAAATAATTCGTAGCTTCCATAGAGGCAACAATTATGACAACTGTCCCAGCTACACAAAGTAGCAATCGATAATTAAATGGCTGCAAAAATATATCCCTCATGGTACCGTAGAAAGGTGGAGCATAGTAAACATTCCTCCTAGAATGTATTTTAAAAAGAACAATGTTGCCAATAATATATATTCTAAATTGCAATGAAAATAAATTTTAATTAAAATTTTACATTGATTTTACGAGTGGATAGCTGAAACTCATATCCTGTTGCCTCTCACTGCTTATTGTTATATAACCCAAACCAATATCAATATTACCAGAGACAACTTCTCCCAATAAATCACTCCATGCTTTATTGGTGACTGTTCCAATTTTTTCAAATGCCGTCACTTCAATTCTATTCAACACAAATTCATCATTAATTTTACATATATATATATATAATTATAAAAAAAAATTTAAATAACAAAAAAAAAATTCTCACGTTGTATTGCAGGAGTTTGCAATTATTTTCATAAAATCTAAAAGTGGTTCAATATCATTAGACTCCTCATTACTTATTAATTCAGTTTTTACATCCTTGGTACCATTATGAATACCAACTTTAATGGGATAACCATAAAAATTTGTTCTCAATTTAACACCAAGTGGTGTTCTTATAAATCGTGTTTCAGGATCCCAAGCACCAAGAAAATCAACTTGCATGCTTGTATTTTCATTTCGACGTATTTTATAAACGTGTGCAAGATAAAATGCCATTGTTTTATTCTCGAGTGTTATATATTCTAAATTTGTTTTTACTGCTGCTGCTGCTGCTGATGATGATGATGATTTATCATCAGCATTAACTTTAGAGTGTTTCACTCTTTTCAAATAATGATTATAGTGTCTTTTATATTGTAAAAGTGACGAACACGTTCTGAAACATTATGCAAAGATTGTACAGACTTTTCCAATATTATAGGAAAAATAACACAAGATCACAAAAAAAATCAATAAAATGGTTTTTTGAAGTCATATTTTCAAAATCCAAAATGGCGAATTCAATATGGCGGGCAATTTTTAAAAAAATTATTAATTTTTATAAAACTTGTTGCCTAGAGGATTTTTGGGTTGCTGAAAACGAATGTGAAGTCTGTTTTGCTCCATTACCTCAGGATTTTTTCCTAACCTCAAAAATTATGTTAGATTTTATGTAACAGACAAAACTTTTACAAATATTAATAGATTAACTTTAATCTTGGAATTGAATGGTTTTTCTTTGTTGCTGATTACGAATTTCAAGTCAGATTTTCAAAACCCAAAATGGCGGATCCAACATGGCAGTCAAATTTTTAAAAAATTATTGAATTTCTATAAAACTTGCGAAATCTATCAGTTTTTTGGGTCGCTAATTACGAATTTAAAGTCAAATTTTCAAAATCCAAATTAGTTAATACAATACGGTGGAAATTTTTAAAAATAATTGTTGGATTTTAATTTTAAAAATTTGGCTTTAAATTCGTAATCAGCAAATTCAAAAATCTGTATATAGATACCAAATTTGAAAAAAATTCGACCGCCATTTTGAATTTTAAAAATCTGACTTAAAATTTGTAATCAGGCAGCTCAAAAAATACTGGATACCATAAGATAACAGTTAATCCGTCAATATTTGTAAAAGTTTTGTATGTCACATAAAATCCGAGATGTTTTTTAAGGTTAGGAAAAATCATGACGCGATGGATCAAAACGGACTTCAGATTTGTGTTCAATGACCCAAAAAATATCGCCTGAATGTCACAAAAATATTCCCGGTTGATATCAGCTTGACATTCAAGCAATATTCCGTGCTACTTGGGTGGTAGATCCAATATAAAGAAAATTTTTTTTTACATTTCTAATATTAAATTTTTTTGAAAAAAAGATAAATCGAGCAATTAAAGAGAAGGGAAGAAAAAGGAAGGCAAGGCGCGAAGTTACATATGAGCCGAAAATAATAAGACAGGAGAATGAAAATACGCAAGGATAAAAATTTGGCATGTAGGAAAAGAAAAATATCAATGGAAGCTCAAGATTGGGGTGTCAATTTTTTTCTACACTTTTAGGTGTATTTTGTCTAAGAAATTGCAATCAAATAATCTGACTAAGAAAAATTTAATTTTTAAGAGAATTAAAGAGCAATTAAAGAGAAGGGAAGAAAAAGGAAGGCAAGGCGCGAAGTTACATATTAGCCGAAAGTAATAAGACAGGAGAATGAGAGATTGAGAAAACGTAATCGTAATAAAACAGAAATAAAAAAGAAAGAGCGCAAAAAAAATTTGACATGCAAAAAAAAGAAATTATCTATAAAAACTGAAGATGGAAAGAAAATACGCAAGAATAAAAATTTGGCATGTAGGAAAAGAAAAATATCAATGGCAACTCAAGATGAAAAGAAAGTGCGTCAAGAAAATAATTTGTCATGTAAAAAAAAAATTTTCTACGGCAACGGAAGATGAAACGAATGTGTGAAGAAAAGAATTTGACATGTAAAAACGATAATCGGAATAAAAAAAATGCAGGAGTTGCAATAATGTCTTTTGAAGATTTCGATGAAAGTAAAGTTCCACAGAATTATTTAGGTTTAATAAATGTAGAATGTAAGTTTTGTAATGCGTTACATTTTTTGTGTAAAAGACCGTCACATAGATACATCACCGAGGAATGTCCCCGTGAAGAGGACATTATGATATCGCCTGAATGTCACGAAAATATTCCCGGTTGATTTCAGCTTGACATTCAAGCAATATTCCGTGCTACTTGGGTGGTAGATCCAATATAAAGAAATTTTTTTTACATTTCTAATATTAAATTATTTTGAAAAAAAGATAAATCGAGCAATTAAAGAGAAGGGAAGAGTTTTATAATAATTTAATAATTATTATTAAAAAATATTAGATTATTAGATAGTATTAGCTATATTAGATCCGCCAATTTAAATTTTGAAAATCAGACTTCAAAGGAACCTTGCATCGATTTTTTTTTGGTTCTAATAAGAAATAATGAAAATTAATTTTTAACCTAAAAAAGTAATACATATAATTAATTTGAATGATTTAAAATTTTTTTATACTCATTCCTAAAATGATGGATGAGGTCAGAATCTTCATTAGGCGAAAGAAATGAGGATGCTACAACTATGTCACTATCAATTCCAATCTTTAAATCGCGAAGGACTGCATCAATAACTGTACTTGCCTCATTAGTTGTTACCATTAACCAAGAAATGTAATAGTTAAATAATAATTTATTAGAAGCCTACAAAAAATACAAGTTGGTTAAAATTTTACAAAAATTTTAGTTTTTCCATAATAGTAGTTTATTTATTTATTTTTATTTGTTAGGCAGTTTCATTAAAAATTCTCTTTAAAATTACAATAATTATAATTTACGTGACTTTAAAAAAATATTAAGATTTCCAAATATACTTTTTATAATTAAACATATATAGATACAAATTTTTTATGCACCACATTAAGAATATTTTCACTATCCGTGAAATTTAGTCTGTCAAGAAAAATAACAGCGGCGACACGATGTTTTTGAATTTTGAGAGAATTCATTAATTTAGAACCTGAACCAGTTTGTAGAGATGTTTTTATTCCTTTACTACCAAGACACTCTATCAATGGTCTTGCATAATCGAGTGAACAATCTACAATATATAAATTTTATATTATTTTAATATTTAACATCAACACTTTTCCTTTTAACCCTTAACTTGGCACCATATGGATCCAGTAGACCCGAGAATTTTTTTGAACTCAAATTAATCAAATTAGTATAGCTTTTAAATATTTTTTATATTTTAATTAATTAGTTTGACATAATCTTTGTAATTTTGTAAGTTTTTTGATACAACTAATTCGATACAAAAGAATAAATTAGTTTCAAACCTTAATAATTTAAAATTTTTAATTTTAATCTAAAAAGTCACATTTTATTCTGCAAAATAAATATACCTTTTTTGCAAGTCCTACTGTTGTGGTAATTTTTTCCTTAAAGAATATAATACATCAAGAGTATAACCTTAAATTTTTAAGTGATAATATTAAAATTTAAATAACTCATGAATTTTTAAGTAAAAACAAGCAATTTTTCGTTTTTATTTTTCACAATTTTTTTAACTAACTTAAAATAAATTAATCCCTGTAAAACTAATAATATTTTAAAAAATACATCATAAGCTACCTCAAATTAAATTTTTTTGCAAAAATATTTAATACCGGCTGTACAATACACGTTTGAATACGTCGGGTCCAGCAGACCCGTTATGCCATTTTCGTTCGAACGCGAAATTGTGCCAGTTAAGGGTTAATACAGAAATTTTTGTTCCTTATTCGGATCCTATAAAGCCAATATTAATTAAAATTAATAATAATAATCCCACACAGCTCATCAAATTTCCTGAATTTGTCCTGAATATTTCATTGAAAGATTCGAAATATTTCAATGAAAGGTCCATGAAATTTTGATGCAAGCAATGAAATGTCCGCCTATAAGAAATATTGCAGTTCCGATTGTACGAAAAATTTCAGCGAAATGTTCAGGAAATCGGAACCGCAATATTTCTTATAGGCGGACATTTCATTGCTTGCATCAAAATTTCATGGACCTTTCATTGAAATATTTCGAATCTTTCAATGAAATATTCAGGAAATTTTATGTGATGTGTGGAATAATAAAAATAATAATAATAATCAACGAATTAAAAAACTAGATTAAACAAAACTCACTTGCATTTAATCCATCAAAAATAACCATTTGATCCCAATTTCTCATTTTACCATAATCTATTATAAATTGCAAAGTCAATACTGATGGTTGAATGCAACTACCAATTACACCAGTCACAAAAAACAGAAAGCAAGAACAATTTTTACAATATTGTTGAATAGAAAAAATATTTTTCTGTTTAAGATGCATATTTTTTTTTGAAAATTTAATTCAATTTTAAATTGATAAGCAACAAATTAGTACGCGAATGAAAAAGACTTAAATACAGAGTTCTGCGGAAAATAATAACAAAACCTCTGTTTTTTTTTAATCGAATTTCAACCCAACTTCCATCGAAAACTGACAAGTAAATGAAAAATAAATTCTTCTAATTGCGTGTCTAAGCTGCATCTAAAATGTCAAAAAGAGAGTCCTTCATGAGTATTTAATGAATGCGAATAAAAGAAAATGGCAAATAAAAGTGATTTATGAATCTTTGCACCAAATCACAATTTTACAATTATTAACAGCTATTTTTGTTATTTTTGATAAATAAATATGTATCACACTATTTGAAAAGGTTTCATGAATTTCAATAATTTATCTTCAAGTGTCACAAAAGCTTGAACAATAAGAACTGACTAACTTTGTAAATGTGCGCAGAGGGTTTTAAATTAATTACTTCACGACTGTCGCTCGCTTTTTAATTCCTTAGGGTAAAATGACATGAATCTTCAAAAAGTAACGATTAAATTAACTAAAGTGGTTTATATATGGGGCATTCCACAAGAGATTTTTATTCAAAAAACATTTGTCTTTATCTTGAGCATTTTTTTTTTATTGAAAATTTCAGAAAAAATACGAAAATACATATTCTTGGATTTGATTAAAATTATGAAAGTTATGATTTTTTTTTAATTTAACGTCGTCAAAAGCTGAATACTGTTAAAATGCCTTTTTCTCTGTCCTACTAATAAGTAGTACACACGGAGAGAAAAATCAAGTTGCGCTTACTGGAGACTGTCAAGTAAATATACGTAAACTAGAGTAAATGTCCCAATTACTGTGATGTACAACCCAAGACCGACTATAATGATAAAATAATAAAAGTGTAAATGAAATAATGATTTAATTTTTTTTGTTAAATCACTATTAGTGTCTATGGAAATAGAAACGATACTTTAAACTTGAAGAAATAACAAATATATTATTAAAAATATTAACTTTTTTAAAAATGGCATATGCTGGTATTACTGCAAGTTTGCATGAATTACTGCGAATGGTGTGCACCAATTACTGCAACGCTAAAAGCGTTGATTTAGAGGTTAGGTTGACTGGATAGACCACAGTAATAGCAGAATGCGAAAAATATACGCATGCTCTAATTACTGTGATATTAGGTTCAATTGTAACTTGAATAAATAATTTGATAATAGTCGAAATATGCATCATTAGTGGATATAATTTCAAATATCATTTGGAATAAGTTTTAAAGTCATTTTGAAACAGTTTTATGTTCTCAATTATACTAAGTTTTACTAATTTCATAAAAATCGCAGTAATTGGCGCATCAGCAGTAATTGATACACTTACCCTATACCAAAGTTATTAGCGCTACGCGAGACTCAAGTAGTTTTAACTTGGGTCTGTAGAATCCACATTGTCCAATGTTGAATCTACTGCAGACCCAAGTTAAAACTACTTGAGTCATGCGTAGCCCTAACTTTAGTATAGTTTACGTATATTTACTTTAGAGTGTCCAGTAAACGAAACTTGATTTTTCTCTCCGTGTAATGATCCTAAATACAACTAAAACCCCAGCAAACACGTTCTATAAATGTTATATAACAGTGAGGACACAGTTTTATAGAACATTTGTTACAAGCTGGTTATGAATCTGTTATATAACCTCATTGTAACAGAATTCTAGAACATTGTTACCAGGGAGTTACCGATTTATTCTATATTATGCTAACTTCACAGTTCTGTAACAATTTAATGTAACATTTCTGTAACACAATCATCACAAATGATCTGTAACTGACGTTCCAACGTAGTTCTAGAACTGTGTCTGAAAAATGTTATTTAGCTGTTCTAAAATTTTGTTGCAGATTAGTTCTGGATGACATTTGTACCTAAAAATGGGAACAATTCTGCAACAGTGTTACATAACATTTCTATAACACTATAGCCACAAATTTTTTATAACTAATGTTCCATCGCATATCTAGAACTATATCGGAACAATGATATGCAACTGTTCTAAAATTTTTATGAAGTTCAGTTCTGGAATATATTTGTACCTGAGATTAAGAACTTTGAAGGGTTCATAAGTACCTTAACTATTTTCTATGGAATTAATAAATAAATAGTTCATTTTACTTAAGTATGTAATTAAATTTAAAAAACTCTAAAATTTTTATATATCACATAGTCTTATTGTTTTCTATTTTCTTTATATAAGCAATACAGTTTTTAAATCCTCCTCAGTCGCAAGTTATCAAATCAATTTTGTATTTGTATTCCCTTGTTAGGGTAGCGTAATGGTTAGCGTATTAGCCTGTGAAGCAATATTGCTATAGAACAGTTGAAATTTGACATTGTTCTAACTATGTTTATTTTAGAATTTCCTTTTTCTATTACATTAAGTTTTAATATTTTTATTAAGAATAAAAATATTTTTCATGTATTTTTAGATTATAATCGTACGATAATAGTTATGTACCATTTTATAGTTGTTACAAAACAGTTCTAGAACTGTTACAAATACATTTGTTACCATATTCTAGATCTGTTACAGAATCTTACATATCCGCTGAGTACGACATTTTGCGTAACCAGTGACTCACAGGTTCATAACCAGTTACAGAACATATTCTCAAAAAATTTGTAACAGTTCTATAACTAACCTGTAACAGTGTTTGCTGGGACTTCAACCTTATTAAAAATATTATATACCGTCAACCGGGGCTATTCTACTCACCCAGGGGCTATTATACTCAGCAGAAGTTTTTAATTAATAAAATATTTATATTAAAATATTTAAACTTGACGCTTGATGTAAAATTTCGCCATATTGTATCTGAAATTTTGAATTTAAAAATTCTGATTTTGCAAATTCGTAATCAGCGCCCCTTTTTGGATCGGAATTATCAAAAAATTGATTTTTCGGTAGTAAACACTTTTCCCAAACACGGTCACATGTGGCGGCTCTAACATAACCTTTACACAGAGAAAAATGGAAAAACGAATAAGGGGCCATTCATTAATTACGTAAGGGTCCTTAGGGGGAGGGGGGGTTTATAAAATCTCTACATGGTCTTACGTGGGGGGGTGGGGGGTAGAAGCTAATCTTACGTAAGATTTTGCCAAGTATTTTCCATTTGTATTATGATGTAATTAATTTTTTAATTACATTAATATTGTTAAAAACTTACGTAAGAAGGGGGAGGGGGGGGTCCGAAAAATCTTATGTATCCTTACATGGGGGTAGGGGGGGGGTCAACATTAGCCAAAATCGTCCTTACGTAATTAATGAATGGCCCCTAAAGTAACTTTTACTGTACTTTAAAAGTAAAACCTGAAGTTTCCGGAGTTTAAGATCATTTCTGGCAATTTTTACTATGAAAATAGTAAAATTTACTCCTGAAATAGTAAAAATTCAGGGTGTCTACTAGTCCTGGAAGTCCTGGAAGTCCTGGAAGTCCTGCAAATGTCCTGGAATTTGAAAAAATGTCCTGGAATGTCCTTGAAAGTCCTGGAATTTTAATTTTTGTCCTTGAATTTTTTATATTTTGCTTTTAAATTTTCAAAAATTTATAATTTTGTCAATCAAGTTAAAAAAAATTCATTAAATAAGTAAAATAAAAATTTACTGAAGTGATTAATTACTTTTTTGATAATTTCTGAAAACAATAGTTAAACTAAAAATTTTTTTATTCCTTAAGATCATCCAATTTAATGTCCTGGAAAAATAAGAAATTTGTCCTGGAAAGTCCTGAAAAAGTCCTGGAATTTTAATTCAGATTTTTAGTAGACACCCTGAAATTATTATGGACATTTGTGACGCGTCATCGCGAAGAAAGGGACTTTAGAAGCAAACGAATTATATAGGTTATGTTTACGACTACAGTTTTACCTTGATTAAAAGTTTCTTTTCGTTTGTGTAACATCAAAATTAGTTTTTATTTATTATTTTAGATATAATGAAGGCTTAAGGCCAGGTCCCAGTCGTGTCAGCTGTTGCATTGAAACTTCAAAGGAACAGCTGACTCGACTTGGACCTGGCCTTAAACATCATTGGTTTGCATTAAAAATTAATTCTCTTTGTGTATTTTCTCTTCGAAATTTCAAAATATAACCTATAATTTTTTGCTTCTTTGGTGTCCCTTTCATCGCGATGCGTCACAATTTTATTTGAATTAAATATAAAAAATTTCTTTGAAACCAAGATAATTTGTTTGAAACAAACAGATTTTCTTTGTATCGAAGAAAAATAGTCAAAGAAATTGATTTTTTTTTAAAAGAAATTTTATTTTCTGGATGTTACCTAATTTGACATAGATCTAAGTTATGATCTGTGTATAAGTTTTATGTCATATAAGATAATTTTAATTAAATTAGAATTGGTAAAAAATTCATTTTTGATAAATCTCATTTTGTGTAAAACTCATTTAAATCTCGTTCAACATTATTCTTATTTGACATAAGTAATTTACTATAAACTTTTATTTTCTTCTTTAGAATTATTACGATTCAGTTTTCATTAATAACACTTTCAATGGATGATTTCTATTTCTGCCTTTTAAATTAAAAAAATAACATATATATTAAAAATCTATTTTCACTTTGCTTTTGTAAAAAAATTCAAATAAAAAGAAAATGAAACATAAATATGCCAGCATTTTGTTTTCATTTGTCTAGTATGTGAATCTTGATTCCCTTATATTCACCTTGACCGACCTGCAATTAATACATATATACTATATATATGCCGTAACTGCTTTCGGGACCAGTAATGTGCTGATAAGGCACTTCGTAAAGTTGACTGAGGCAGAGGGAGGAGGGAAATTTACAAAGCGAAGTAACTAACTACAAAACAATAAGCTATATGTCAGTCGCATAAATTCATTTCATAAAGTATAATACGACAAAAAGGTTTAAGTGGCCCTTTATTATTTATTAAAGTTTTCCTCTTAATATTATAACTATTGTGTGTTTTCTTTAAAGATTTCCTGTTGTTCATTTAATATCTTCACCCCTAGAAAATTTATAACAAAAACGTTGATAAAATGTGCCTTGTTTTTCTTAACTAAATTATAATTTTAATTCTCCTTTAAGTGTTTATAAGTGTATTTTTGTTTTTGCTATATTTATATGTATTTTTTCCAGAAAATTCGATGCTTTGCAATTTTTGATAAATTGTAATTAATTTTAAAAAGAAATGGGTAAGAGCGATAATTTACCTTCTAATGTCAATTAATTACAAAATCATACAAATGAAAAATTCTACACATATAATTATAGTTATTTAATTGTTCGTGGAAGTCGGTATAGTTAGATAATTTAAAAAAAAAAAAAAAGAAAATAACTACAGCTAAAATTTTGCGTTCAATATGGTCACTAATTATTGTGTTTACATGTTAATCGCTTCCTTTATTTGCTAGAATTTAAAAATTATTTAACAAATTTTATTAGTTAACACTTTTTACTAATTGTTTAATTAGAATATTTTTTGAAAAAGTTAAAAATTACAAAAATAAAAAACTGATTTCGCTTTACGCTTAAGAAAATCATACTTTTTAAAGTCTTTATTAACATGTTACTCTACCTTATTTTCATAAAAGTTGTCAATTACTTTTTATAGTATCTATTTAAAAAATTTTTTTATAAATGTTCTGTGTTTACTGTATTTAAAAAAAAATTATTTCCAATAATTATTTTTATTGAATTACAAATATCACAGCCACACAAAAAAAAAAGTTTTGATCTGGGGGTCTGACTATGCCTACTTTATGTTTTTTGGGTCGCTGAATCCGAATTCGAGGTCCGTTTTACCCCATCAGATCAGGATTTTGAGATAACCTCAAAAAACCAATATGGCGGACACTTTTTCGAAAAATTCATCGGATTTGCCTGAAACTCAATACTCAGGGGTTTTTGGGGTTGCTGATCACGAATCTAATGTCAGTTTTCAAAAATTCAAAATGGCGGATCCAAAATGGCTGACACATTTTCGAAAAATTCATCGGATTTGCCTGAAACTCGTTACTCGGGGGTTTTCGGAATCGCTGATTACGAATTTGAAGTCAGTTTTCAAAAATTCAAGATGGCATTGTAACAAATTTCTTAGGTGTATCTGTCATGACGGCATTTTTCGAAAAAGTGTCCGCCATCTTGAATTTTTGAAAACTGACTTCAAATTCGTAATCAGCGACTCCAAAAACCCCTGAGTAACGAGTTTCAGGCAAATCCGATGAATTTTTCGAAAATGTGTCAGCCATTTTGAATTTTGAAAAACTGACATTGGATTCGTGATCAGCGACCCCAAAAACCCCTGAATAAAGAGTTTCAGACAAATCCGATGAATTTTTCGAAAAAGTGTCCGCCATATTGGTTTTTTGAGGTTATCTCAAAATCCTGATCTGATGGGGTAAAACAGACCTCGAATTCGGATTCAGTGACCCAAAAAACATAAAGTAGGCATAGTCAGACCCCCAGATCAAATTTTTTTTTTTTTTTTGGCTGTGTAATTACACAACTTTATTATAATTTATGTTAAATTCTTGGAAATTAAACATAATTTTTTATTCCCAATTCCGAATATTTATATTTAACGAAGTAAACATTTTTTTAAATTTGTTATTAATTTACGTATTACACAATATTTATAAATTCAGAATTTTCAAAAAATATTTAATTTATATATGAATCATACAAAGCATTCTCCATACATTTTCTGCAAATTCTTTAATCCCTCACCAATCAATATTATAATTTTTTATTTAATTACAATATTTTGCATTAATTTTTTCTAATTGAATTAATAATTTTACTTCAAAAATTATTTTCTATATATTTAGGATTTATTTCAAAAAAAAAAAAATGTTTTTATAAACCAAAAGTGTCTTCTTTTGTGTAAAGTTCGGTAGCTGTATGATGTATGATAAATAATTCTATTTTTCTGTCAAAAATGTACAGAAGAGAGAAACGGACCTTGTTTTGGAAAATTTTTATGCAAAAAAATTAATTCGTGACAGAAATGCCCCCAAATATATCCGGTACAACGCCATGTATTGACAAGAAAACATCAGTAGCTGACAATGGAGCTGCTTTAAAATTGACAGAAAATATTTCATCAAAAGAAAGTGAAAATCATGAAACAACTAAATCTAATGGATTTCATAATGAGAAAAAGAAAGAATCATCAACTTATTTTCAACAAGATTTAAAATGGATAAATATCATCAGTATTTTTATTCTTCATATTTGGGCACTTTATGCTATCATCACTTTTCCCTATATTCAAAAACCCCTGACAACGCTTCACAGTAAGTTTATATTTAAAAAGAATTTATTATTTATTTTTTATTACAGAGAAAAGAAATGTTATATAAATTTTGTGTTAAAAAACTTTCAATTTTTTACGTAATACTAATAACAGAACCGATAAAAATAAATATATCCAAGAAAATTAATATATATTTTAAATGAAACTAATATTTTGTTATCTTAATATACATGAAAAAATTTCTCGAATCATTATTTTTCGAATTACCCCTAATTTAACAAATAAAAAACGAAGCTGAAGTACGCAACGTTTATATAAACGATTTTTAAAGAAATAATTTTTTAAAATGAAAAATTCTATAATTTTTTGCCTAAAAAATATTTCTTGTAGTTTTCAATAATCAACAAATTATAAAAAAATATTTTTTAGGCAAAAAATTATAGAATTTTTCATTTTAAAAAATTATTTCTTTAAAAATCGTTTATATAAACGTTGCGTACTTCAGCTTTGTAATACAAAAAATTATTTAAGATATTTTTGACCCTTTTAGCCAGTGCATTATATTATTATTTAAATATCACATTGTTATTGTTTATGCATTTTATCGCATTTTTATGCATTTTTATCGCACTTATTATATATTTTCAATGAACAATACAAGTAATAAATATTGTACGCGCATATAATCGAGTTTTTTACCGCGATATATAATTATTTTCCTAGAATAAAAACAGGAAAACCATATTAACTTAAAATATGAAATCGAAATATAATAATTATTTCCTTATAATATAACAAAACATTGTTTAATTTCCATTTTTTAAAACAGAAAAAAATTTTAAATTCAGTCAGCCCTATTAGAAAGATCTGAAATCTGATCATTGAGAGAAAAGTCATGTGACAAGGTCACCCCTAAGTCTTTAATATATACCTCTACTATAGACTCAGTTTAAAACCACACTGCATCAATATTATATAATAATTTAATTTAAGTCATTTTAAATTATGAAAATATGGTATCAAATTTCGATCTATCCACTAATCTTTCGACTGTAGTTTTTGAATAAAACATGTAAGTCTAATAGTATAGCTTAGGGAAATCATTTATGATGAAAAATAAAGATTCTTGACCACTTTAGATGTAAAAACAACCTTTTTGGATTAGTGAAATGCATGTATGCATTTTAATTATGATCCTCGTCAACACTATCTTTACAATGATGCAAATTAATTTGTAATTTTGAGGTTCCAGTAACAAATAAACCCTGGCTTCACCATAAATTATCTGGTAATCACAATTCTTGTATTAGTAAGATGGGAGACGCATGAATTTTCTCCAAATTTCAAATAGCTTAAAACTTAATTGACCTACATTTAATTGGCCTAAAAGTCGTATGAACTAATTATTACTTGGCCTAATCTGTTTATGACCTAATTATTTATTCAATCTAATCCTCATTTGTACTAATCGTAATTGTCCTTATATTCTCATTTGGCATAATCTTTATTTAAAGTTTAAACTAATTCTTATTTAACGTAATATTTATCTGCCCTACCCGGCTGAAAAAACTTGTACAAGAAAATGTATAAGTTCTTGTACATGCATATATAAGTCTTAATAATTAGAACTTATTAAAATTTCAAATTTTTTTCAAAAACATTTTTTATACAAATATTCTTGTACAAGAACATAAACGTGTTCATGTAAAATTACTTGTACATGAAACCTGCACAAGAATATATATATGTACAAGAACATGTATATTTTCTTGTACAAGTGTATTTTCTTGTCCAGGGTCTTGTATTAAATTCTGATACAAGAACACGTCTCAGTTCCGGATGCTGAACTTGTTCAAGAAAATTACTTGAACATGTACAAGTTCATTTATGAACATATACAAGAACTTGTACATTTTCTTGTACAAATTTTTTCAGCCGGATAAATCTCACTTGACCTAAATTTTCTGTAACCTAATACTTTTTTTAGCCTCATTTTTATTTGACCTAATTATTACTTGGCCTAAACACCATTTCCCCTAATTATCATTTGGACTAAACGCCGCTTAAACTAATTTTCATTTGATCAAATCTTTATAAAACCTAAATCCTCATTTGGCCTAATCATACTGTAACCTAATTATTATTTGTTCTAATATTTATCTGACCTAATTCTCACTTAGCCTAATGTTTTACTTGATCCTAATTGTTAGTTGTTCTCAGCTAAATATTAGAACAAATAATAATTAGGTTACAGTATGATTAGGCCAAATGAGAATTAGGTTTTATAAAGATTATGATCAAATAAAAATTAGTTTAAGCGGCGTTTAGTCCAAATGATAATTAGGCCAGATGAAAATTATTTCAAATGATAATTATGGGAAATGGTGTTTAGGCCAAGTAATAATTAGGTCAAATAAAAATGAGGCTAAAGAAAGTATTAGGTTACAGAAAATTTAGACCAAGTGAGATTTTGGGCAGATAGATATTATGTTAAATAAGAATTAAGTTATATTAAGATTAGGCTAAATGAGAATGTGGACAAATGAGGATTAGATTGAATGAAGATCACAGAAAAAACCTGAACTCAAAATGATAGCGTATGCTACTCATTTTGATATGCAGCAAAAATGAGTCCGGTTGGTAGCGCCCCTGTCTATGTCGTTTAGCATTGACTCATTTTCGCTGCATATCAAAATGAGACTAAGTTTTTTCTGTGATTAGGCCAAATAAGAATTAGGTCATATACAGATTAGGTATAGTTATAATTAGTTCATATGCAGATTAGGTCAAGTAATAATTAGTTCACAGTAAACTTGGTTGTATGGTCTCCGCAATTGTACTATTACCAAAATATCTGAAAAAAATTCGTTTAATTTTCAGTCGATTCAATTCGGCCATGATTGATATAAATTGATTAAATTTTTTGCATCAAAAAATGAGACTGTTTCGTGTATTATTTCTAAAAATGATACACAAAACGATCTCTTTTTGATATAAAACTTATGTGCATCAAAACGTTGCAAAGATTTGATGCAATTTTTGGTCTAAATTTGATACTTTTAGGAAAACTGTGTTCATAGGACTCTTAGAACAAATGATTTTAGGTGAATTAAGTGTTAGGCCATTTGAAATTTGGGGAAAATTCATGCGCCTCTTCTTCGATTAGTGAGATGCAGGTGTGCATTTTATTTATTATCTTCGTCAACACTGACAGCACTATGATACAAGTTAATCTGCATATTAATTTGAGCTTACAATCAAAAGAAAAACTAGTAGATTTAACTACTTTTTAACTACCCTGCGTAATTCAATAGATCTTCAAGTGAATTTAAAAAGTTGTATTTATTATCAGAAAGTAGTAAAGAGGAATTAATACCTTTAAAGAGTAATTTTAGCCGTCATTTGGTGAATTTTTTAACATAAAGAGAATGAAGCAATCAAAAAACGGTTTTTACATTAAATTTATTCAGATTTCTAGTTTATAAAATAATGATTTATATTTTAGAATTTTTTTGTGCCTGCTCTGTAGAAGGCGCCAAAACTGTCGTTGTTGTGCTTGTTCCGCTCACATTGATGCGCACTATATAGAATACTATTTTATAGTTGGTAGAATGAGATTTTTTATTTGTTTTAGTTTTTGTTGTTGATTTAGTTACATTTTTAAGTAAAATGAACTGCTATAATTGTTATAGAGTTCAATTTCTAACACTGTGTAACAAAGGCAGCTCTTTCCCCAATAAGTTCCTGATGATCATGATTCTTGGATTAGTGAGAAGCATGTGTGCATTTTAGTGAACACTGTTTTACTATGATGCAAGTTAATCTGTATAGAATTTAGTTTACTAGCAGCCATATTTTGATTACTGTTTACTCACCATCCTTTCTCCGGATTCTTTTCGACTCAGGCTAGCAACACTAAAAGTTGCCTCTTTCAACATTAAAAAAAACCTATTTTCTTACTCCATTTTATTCTTGATGAATTAAAATGTAATTTTTGTTTTCCAGCGTATATTTTTGGACTACTTGTTGGTTTTGGAGTAACAGGTGGTGCACACCGTCTCTGGACTCATCGAGCTTACAAAGCCAAGTGGCCACTTCGAATAATTCTTCTATACAGTTATTACACATCTGGACAAGTAAGAAAATTTAAAAAAAAATTAACCTTTGTTAAATTAAATTTAAATAATACAGTAAAATTAAAGTAAATTTTAATAAAATTAATAACCTAGCCCAATTTAGTCTACTTTAAAATTTTGATTGGTGAATTAATATATGTTAAGAAAAGGACCCCGCACAAAAAATAGGGGAAAAAAATTTTCGGTCAAATATTTTTATACTTTGCAGTTTTGTAGCTTATTATCTCCTAAATAATAAATGTTAATGGCAAAACCCCCGAAATTCAATAGTTTTTGACTTACACTATGTTGAGCCTCAATAAATAGGAAAAAATTAATCCAGTTTCGTAAGGATTGCATAAAGCTTACTCAAAGCTTAAGGCTTCTTTACGGCTGAAGACTCAAGACTTGATAAAGACAAGGCTTGCTCAAGGATCCAGACACTCCTAAGCACCAAATCTTCTTACGACACCAGGGTTGATTGTAACTCAAGCTTTGCTTATGACTCAAGACTTGATAATGACTCAAGGCTTGATAATGACTCAAGGCTTGATTATGGCTCAAGTCTTGTTTATGGCTCAAAGCTTGGTTATAGCTCAAGGCTTGAATATGGCTCAAAGCTTGTTTATGGCTTATGGCTTGGTTCTGGCTCAAGGCTTGATTATAACTCAATGCTTTATTATGGCTCAAGGCTTGGTTCTGGCTCAAATCTTGTTTATGGATCAAGACTTGATCATGGCTCAAAGCTTGTTTATGGATCCAGATTTGATAATGACTTAAGGCTTGGTCATGGATCAAGGCTTGATTCAGAACCAAGTCTTGAGCCACGATCAAGTCTTGATCCATAAACAAGATTTGAGCCAGAACCAAGCCTTCAGCCATAATCAAGCCTTGAGTCATTATCAAGTCTTGAGCCTTAATCAAAGCTTGAGTTACAATGATCCCTGGTGTCGTAAGAAGACTTGGTGCTTAGGAGTGCTTAGATCCTTGAGCAAGCCTTGAGCTTTAATGGAGCTTTGAGCCATAAGCCTGCCTTGCCTGTCTTTATCAAGCCTTGAGCCTTGAGTCTTAAGCCGTAAAGAAGCCTTCAGCTTTGAGTAAGCCTTATGCAATCCTTACGAAACTTGATTAATTTTTTCACATTTATTGAGGCTCAACATAGTATAAGTCAAAAACTATTGAATTTCGGGGGTTTTGCCATTAACATTTTTTATTCAGGAGATAATAAGCTACAAAACTGCAATGTATAAAAAAATTTGACCGAAAATTTTTTTACCCTATGTTTTGTGCGTGGTCCTTTTTTAATTTTGTTTCGGGATTCATGTAATTTTATTATTTACTTTTTAAGTATAGTAATTATTCTAAAAATTGGAAATGTACTTTCGTTTTTGGATTATCAACAGAATTCACTATTCGATTGGGTACGAGATCATCGTATACATCATAAATATTCAGAAACAGAAGCAGATCCACACGACAGTTGTCGAGGATTTTTCTTCTCGCACGTTGGTTGGCTTATGATGAAAAAACATCCTGAAGTTATAAGACGAGGACGTCAAGTTGATATGAGTGATATTCTCTCTGATCCAGTTGTTGCATTTGGTGAAAAGTATGCTTTGAACAAATATGATCACTAATTTTGTTATAGGTTTATAATAAAATAATTTTTTTTCTTCTCATTACTCAGGTATTTCATATTATTCAAAATTTTATGCTGCTTTGTCATACCAATAATTATACCAGTATACTTTTGGAATGAAGAGTGGTACTATTCAATATTCTCAACGATTGGACGTTATGCTCTATCTTTAAATTTTACATGGAGTGTTAATAGCGCAGCTCATATATGGGGTTCAAAACCCTATGACAAGTAAGATTTTATAAAAACAATTTACTATCTATTTTTCATATAAAAAAAAGTCAAAAAAAACTTGTACTATAAATTTACTGGAATTCATAGAAAACTTTACAATAATTTAAATTGATTTTTAAATAAAATTCTGTTAATTATTATACAGAAAAATTGCACCAGCGGAAAATAGATTCGTTGCCTATGTAGCCATGGGCGAAGGCTGGCATAATTATCATCATGTATTTCCATACGATTATAAGGCAGCAGAATTAGGAAATTATAGTTTAAATTATACAACATTTTTAATTGATATGTTTGCAAAAATTGGTTGGGCATACGATTTGAAACAACCATCTAAAGAATTAATTAAAGCAGTGAGAGAAAAAAGGGGACATGGCTCACACAATACCGAAGAACCTGAATCAAAATCTGATTAAAATATTATTTTTTTGTAATATATAAAAAAGTACGTTTAATTCTTAGGACGCATGATTATGTTCTAAAAATTATTAGTTCGAATTGTCATTTTATGGAATTTCATTTATCATAATTATTTTTGAGTTGAATTTTTATTTTTTCGAATTAGTATTTTGGGAGAATTTTCATTAAACCGATTTTCTATATATTATAGAATTTTTATATAACCGAAAATTCACTTTACAGAATTTTCATTTGTTCGAATTTTTATTTGTCAGAATTTTTATTTACTCGAATTTTTTATTTAACATAATAGGCATTTTAAAGAATTTTTATTGGGTAAAATTTTCTTTCAGATGAATTTTCACAATTTTATGAATAATTTTTGATTGGTTGATTTTAAAAAATCGCGCCGTAATCTATCTGTCGATTGTTTGTTCGGCCATTTGCAATTTCGGACAAATGAAAATTCTATCAATTAGAAATTCTATTAAATTATTTTTCGGTTAATTAAAAATTCTGTTGTATGAAAAATCGGTTATATGGAAATTATATCAAATAATAATTCAAACAAATGAAAATTCATCTGAAAGAATAAAATGAAAATTCTATGCAATGAAATTCTACCCAATAAAAATTCTTTAAAATGCCGATTATGTTAAATAAAAATTCGAGTAAATAAAAATTTTGACAAATAATAATTCGAACAAATAAAAATTAGGCTCAAAAATAAATATAACAAATGAAATTCCATAAAATGACAATTCTAACTAATGATTTTTAGAACATAATCATGAGTCTCTAATTCTTATAATAATAAGTTCTATTTTCCATCAATTAATTATAATTATGTATAATAATCAATTAGAATAAAAAAAAGAAGCATTATCCTCATTTTCTTCGTCCTCAAGTTGAGAACACTGCGCGCGCAATATGGGTTAACCAATCACTACGCGTTACCCCCACTCCTCGCTTGCTGCGTGCGCAGTGTTCTCAACTTGGAAGCCCAAAAAAGAATGAACTTATTTCCAATGAAAATAACATTAAATTCGAAAAAATGCTATAACAAAAGATGTAAAATTTACTCTGAAAAATAATTTAATGAATTAAATAATGCAATCTGGATTGGTTTTGGACGAAATGACGCCTGGGGAGAATGTGGAAATGATTCTTAAAATAAATTTTATTATACTTTTTCTTTGAGACTGAATGATTAGTTAACAATATTCGCAAATAATACATTTTTTCATTCACATTCACAAAATCGTAACAATTGTATTAAAATTGTGAAGGACGATTTTTTTAAAAAGGGTTGAATTATTTTTACTAAATTTTTGGCTCTTTTCCCTTTCCAGAGCCCAGCCTTATAAATAATTTAATATTAAAATTAATAAATATCAAAAATAATTCCTTGAAAATAAATGAAAATACAAAAAAATTCAATTACATGTTTTATCTTTTTTACTCTCTATAATGAGTATTTAGTTTTATTTTAACTAAATTTTTATAAAAGTAAATTGTCTTTATTATATATATTTTTTATTCATTTTCTTTACTTAGTATCAATGAGTATAAATCTTTTACTAATAAAATGTCGATGTTACGAAAAAAAAGAAAAGAAAAAATTTATATACTATATTGCGATTACGTTAGTCTAAGATTAACGTTTATCTAACTCCATTATCGTGTGAATGCGTGTTAGAAAATTGACATAGGTCAATCTCATCACATATACGTATGTAAGAGCATTTTTATTTTATTTCATTTTTTTGATCAAATTATAAACTTGATAGTTTGTATCAAATTAATTTTCACATGTTACTTATATTATCTATGGAAAATTTAAAATTATAAATTAGCCTTTAGCTTTGACAAAAAAAAAATCATATATCTTAAATTTTCTTTATTTGATAAAAAAAAATGTTTTTTCAAATTTTTTTTTAACATTTAGAACGCAATGAAAAAATTTTTTCTGAACCCAGTAAAAAAAAAAATTGTGAGTAAGCGAAAAGAATTGGTTGTAACTTAAGCTGAATTCGGTTTGGCGAAAAAACCGAATTGGAACGTTACGGTGAATTATTTTTTACTTACCGTGAATTCTTTTCTCTTGAACATTTGAATTGACGTTTGTTTATTTGAGTTTGCATTATAAATGAATAGAATAAATGTTTCGAAGTGTAAAAACGACGATTTGGAATAAGAAATATATAATTTTTTAAAAAGAAATAAAAGAGAAATGTGACAGATTTACCGACAATATTTTACCATGTACTCATACGTACTCATACGGTAAATTTATCAGATGAACACTACAGACTTGATAAAATTGTCGGTAAATCTGTCACATTTCACGTCTATTTCTTTTTAAAAAATTATATATTTCTTATTCCAAATCGTCGTTTTTAGACTTCAAAACATTTATTCTATTCATTTATAATGTAAACTCGAATAAACAAACGTCAATTCAAATGTTCAAAAGAAAAGAATTCATGGTAAGAAAAAAATAATTTACCGTAAGGGGCCACCCTTCTAGAAAAAATCAATTAAACACGATTCAGAACGATAGGGTACAAAAATTTTTTAATCGTTTTGAATTGTTTTCAATTGGAGTATATATTTTTTCAATTGATTCGAATTGTTTTCAATCGTGTAAAATAAGTTAAACTTTTTCAATTGTTTTTAATCGGGTGCTATCGGGAGAACGATATACGCACATGCGCAAATAGTTAATTATAAGAATAAGAAAAGTGTTGAATCAAATAGGAAAGATGTTTTTCTTATAAGTCTTTTGTAATATATAGTTTGTTCTGTTCGTGCGTATGTGTAAAATATTTAAAATCTAAAGTAAAATTTCTAGTGATATGGATAATGTCAATATGTTTACTTATCCTATACATGAACAAATTAAATATGACAATCTTTGAGTTGTTAATACATAACCTCAAAAAAATAAAAATAAATAAATGGGTACGTAAAAAAATACATATAAACAGAAATTAATTAAATAAATAATTAGGTACATATAAGAATAAATATAAGAAAAAATTCTATTTCTTGTATTTTAAAATAATTTCAGTTTTTAATCTTTTTTTTAGAACAAAATTTTTAGTTTTTTCTAAACTTTATGTGTCCAGCAGCTTTTCAAAAAAATTTAGCAAAAAAATTATTCAGTATAAATTTTGTTCGAAGTTCACCTAAACTCCTTCCAACAACAAAAAACCATAATTTTTCAATTAAATATTTTCAAAAATTGTAATCAAATTCTTTAAAAAGTTCAATTGTTTTCAATTAAATTTTACAAAATTTCAATTATTTAAAAATAATAAGTCAAAACCTTTCAATTCTTCCAAAATTGAATTACTTCTATTAAATTCTATAATTATTTTATTTATAAAAAATTTTAACTAATACTTTTTGCAAATTTTATCATAAATTTAAAAAAAAAATATTTTTTATTAAAAACTTTGATTGCAACTCTTCGAAATATAAATTTTTTCTAAAAATTTTAAATTAAAATTCTTTACAAACTTATTTTGTGCTAGAAACGGATGTTAAAGCCGTTACATTTGTATAAAGTTTTTCATTCATTAAAATATTTTCAAAATTTTCAATTTAAAATCACCAGAAATTTAATTATTTCTAATGAATCTTATAATTATTGTAGATCTTCCAATATTCGATTATTTAAAAAAATTCAATATTGACTGAAATTAAAAAAAAATTTCAGTAATTCAATTTAAAACAATACTTGATGTATCTGTCAAAAATTATTTTTTAAACATTTTTTCGATAAATTATAAACGAGAAACATTTCGTCTTGTGCAGTTTCATTCAAAGATAAATTAAAAAATAACTTTTAATTAATTTTTGATAAAATATATGATTTTCTTCTGTGGTGACAAATACATTGATAAATATTTTAATTTTTTAGTTCGGAAAATAATCTTTGAAATAATTATATATTTCTAGACTGTTTAATTAGTTGCATTTTTTAAAATTTTCAAAAACTCCCACCAAGCAATAGTGCATGGAATACAATCTATAGAACACGATTGAAAACGATTGAATATAATAAGAAAGTCAATCGTCTTCAATTGTAAGAACACGATTAAGAAAAACGATTGGGGACAATAGAAATTTCTTTCCTATTGTTTTCAATCGTTTTCAATCGATTTTTTCTATTCATAAATTACGTTGCACTATTTTTCACCATTTTCGACACCCCCCCCCTCCCCCTTGTTGCACTTTTTGCATACATTAGCGCCATTTTTTCTGTTGCATGTTGCAAATTCTTGACCCCCTCCTCTTTCCCTTAAGCGCAACGTAATTTATGGATGGCCCCTTAACGTTCCAATTCGGTTTTTTCGCCAAACCGAATTCAGCTTAAGTTACCACCAATTCTATTCGCTTAATGCCAATTCTTTTTTTTTTAATGGGAAATCTAAGATTGAGTCCACAAAAAAAAATTTCTATTGCGAACTCAATTTAATAATCGGTTTTGTATACAGAAAAAGTTAAATACAAATTTAAAAGTCATATATACAAAATGATAATTCATATAAATGACATGAATCACTTTTGAGCTTAAAGTGTTAATTTCGTCTTGGGAATTCATTATAAATTTACATAAAAAAATTGCATAAAACTGTTGTAATAAGTTGAACTTTCTCATACAAAATTGCAAAGCTTTTGTTCATTAAAAAACAATAAGAACATTGAATACAATTTAAAAAATATATATATACCTAAATGACATCATTGTTGAAAAGTTTATTTTACGAAATAATAAAAAAAAAAATTTACTTTCATTACAAATGAATAAAGAATTTTACATTCCAGCAAATACGTCATATTTGTACAAAAAAAAAAAATTTTGATTTTTTTATTTGACGCAAATATATTATCGATAATAAAAATCTGCGATTGAAGCAAAACAAAAGATAAAATTATTACGTTTATGGTCTTTAAAGTTGAAAGGGCATAAAATTATTTTTTTATTTATTCTTTTTAAATTATTGTATATATGCGTTCTTATCTCTCTAAATCTGAATTAGTAAATGTTTTAATTAATTAGAATTATAGTGACTGAATTTTCGCTATGAATTAGTTATAATTTTTATTGATACGTAATGAATTAGTGAATAAAAAAACATTCTTTTGTCAAATACATTATACAGGGTGATTTTTATGTTCCGGACCCCCTAAAAATTTTTTTAATTTCATTTTTTTCGTTTTTTAAACAAAAAAAAAGTAGAATTAAAAAAAATGTCAGGGACTCCGGATCATAAAAATCACCCTGTATAGTCAATTTTAATTAAAATTTAACTTAACATAACCTCTAAAAATCGAATATACACTGTAAAAAAAGGTTTTAATTTTACTATTTAAATAGTAGAATTACAAGATTCTGTAACAAATTCCGTTACAGAATTATTTTTTTTTTTTTTTTTTTTTTCTGTAATTAAAAAATTTTACAGGCGCTAGTGAATTCACATAACCTCAATGTACAGTTAAGGCCTGAGCAGAATAGAAACGTAACAAGAATCGTAATCGTAAACGCAACCGGAAGAATAAGTTAAAAAAGGAGAAACAATCTATCTATCCTTCTCTAACTCATTCTTCCGGTTGCGTTTGTTATTACGATTCCGGTTACGTTTCTATTCTGCTCAGGCCTTTACTATATTGTGTAAAAATGTCCCACACAGTGTAGGTTTTTTTCCTCGCATATACGACATTAATTTAATTATAACAGATTATTAAAATAGTTGTTTAATAAACGAAATCAGGCAAAAAAAAATGAAAAAGTAAACAAATTTTTAAATTTAAAGAATATTTATATTGTCGATGTATTTTTCTATCAATGTGTGATTTTACAATGAAAAAATTGCTTTTTTACGTTTTCATTTAGTAATTTTACAAAATTCATGATATTCACATTTTCAAAATGTAAATTAACCAAAAATCTTGTATTTCTAACCTCAAAATCATTAATATAGTCAAATTGAGTGCAGTAAAATCCGAGGTAAAATCACATAATTTAGTAACGAAATTTGTTACAGAATCTTGTAATTCTACTATTTAAATATTAAAATTGAAACCTTTTTTTACAGTGTATTTATAATTTGTCAAAATCGATTCAATAAATTTCTTATATTTTAATAGGAAATAAATCATTTAAAAATAATGACATTTACTGAGGAAACAGTATAGCAACAACAAATTTTGAATGGGTTTCATAATAAAAAAATTATTTCTGTGGTTCGTTTTTTGTTTTATTATTAATTTTTTTATTTTACCTTATTATTAATTAATTTATTTTTGTTTTATTTATTTATTTTAAATGTTTTTGATCATTAATTAAAATTTAATTCTGACTCGAGATATTATTTCTCCATTGTATGGGTGTTTTTTGGATATTCATCTTTTTATATTATTTTATTGTCGATTGTGAGAATGACTGATTGCTAATTTTAGTTTCATCGTTTTATTTGGTAAATTGTTTTTATGTTTATTTTATTTATTTTTCTTATTTTCATGTTTATATCTAATTTATTTTTATTTATTATATTGATACTATTTTATTTATTATTACATATGTATATTGTTTTTCATTTTATTTATTTTGTATATATATATATATATATATATATATATTGTATTTATTTTATTTAATTAGCTAGCTACATTTTGTATTTTTGTTTTTATTTTAATTTTATAATTTTTTGTATTGTTGAGACTTCCTGAAGAGGAAATATCATCAGTGTGATTTCGAAACGTTGAAGAAAATATTATTAAAACCCATATTTCTCTGAATGTTATCGTTTTTATTATGAAACCTATTCAAATATATTCTACTCGGACGTTAAAGAATTAATAATTATTAAAACAAAAAAAATTTGTTTTTGTAAATGTTAAAATAAACAAAGAAAAATATAATTTTTTTTTCTACGTTATAGTTCTCATTTCTTTAAGACAGCAGCGCTATTCACAATTCTGAAATTTATACTTGTTTTCCCCTCTATTTTTCATTCTCTCGATGACTGTACATTTTGAATGAAGCTACATTCTAAACACTGTTCATACAAAACGCATGCGTTTATTCTCATGCATTTCATTGGCTATTATTATGCGGGCTTTATGAAAATAATGAAAAAAACAGGTTATCGACTCGTCAGCATTTAGCGCCGGCGCATTGACATACGCATACTTTGGAAATATAGCTTACGTGATATTTACCGCGTGCTCAGCAACCGGCATTTGTCAGTTTCAGTCAGACCGTTCAGTTAAATTCTCGTTCTTTGGCTTATAGTATATAGTTTTCAACCTTCAACGTGTACATCTCTAGTCAACGTCTCTTCAAGCGTCATTATATTCTCTTTTAGATATATTAAATTATAACTATTACAATTAAATTTATCAATTGTTTGTGATTTTTTTTTAAGTTATTAACATTTTTCTCATTGAAACGTTTATTGTAAGTCAAAATTTTTTTTTTTTTTTGTCATTTTCTCACATTAAAACAAAATTTGTAATTCCACCATCTTCAGAAAGAAAATTTCATCAGTCAATTGAAACAGGTATGTTTAAATTTTAATAGCTCTAAATTTAACCGTATATATTGAGAGTAATGTGTGTTTTTTTTTTCTTTTTAAATCTTATTGAATTTAATGTGGATTTTTTTTTAAAATAGAAAATAGTTTTTTCTTAACGAACGTGAAAATTTTTAATGAAGTTTAAAAAAAAGAATTAATGAACAAGTTTTGGTGAAAACAAGTTACCTGGCTAGTTTCACCATTCTTCTAGACAATTTGATTCTGGAATGCGACTAGGTAACTTTTTCCCCTCTATTTTTCGAGGAAAATCAACATTAATTTCCAACAATAGACGTTGCACGTTTAGATGGTTTTTTTTTATCTAATTTTATTGCTCTGAACAGTTGTAATTGTTTTTAATATGTTAAGAAAAATGTTTTTAATTATAGTGTAAAATTTCGACATTTAAAAATTAAATTTTACATATTTATCACAATAATTTATTAGTTTTTAATCTTTATAACGATATTCGTTAATTATATTTTAAACACGTGAAAATAATTAGAATAATAATAATAATAATTGGGTAATCACATTATTTGGGCGCATGCGGTCGTTTCATGCATAATAATATTAATTACATAATATAATTTTGAATGCTTAAATTTGTTTTAATGTTACGAAATTTTCAAGTTAAAATAAAAAAAGAAAAAAAATTTAACAAATTGTTTTAATGTTAAAAACAATTTATAAGGATATATTTCTAAAATATTATGCTTATCAGATAATGCCATTTTTTTAAATGAAATATTTTCTTATTTTAAAAATATATTAACATATTATTATCAAAAACTATTATATTAATGCGTTGTACATTAAAATTTTCTTTATTTTTCCTCATTTCTTGCCATTTAGTAAATAGTTCATATATATTTAAAAAAACAGTCTAATTAAAAAAAATATATATAACTATAAAATTCAATGAAAAATATAATTCACTGGTTATATAAAAATTTGCAAATTAAATTAATATTTTTAAAAATAATAAAAAAAAATTTTTTTAAATATAATAAAAATAAATAATTTTGATTATTAAATTTAAAAATATATTTTTATTTAATTTAATAATACGGAAAAAAGTAATTAATATTTAATTTACAATTTTTAAATATTTATTATATTCTAAAAAATTATGTTCCAGATGTTTACAGATGGAAAGTTAAATTAAATTTAAATTTTCTTCATTTAATAATTTAGAACTTTTCTCATTAATCTATATATATATGATTACATTTATTCAATACAAAGAGCAATAACATTGCACTTTATCAATTCATTGTTATTATATTGAGCCGACTATTGTTTCAATAATAATGAGTTACAGTAATCCGAGTAATAGAAAATAAAATAAAAAAATATACAATTAAATATAATTTTTTTATTTTGTTTATTTTTATTAATATTAATTATTATTTCTACTAATTAATTACAAATCACTACTATTATTTATATGGTAATAATAATAATAATATATAATATTTTTTGTCTAAAGAAATTTAAAAAAAAAAAATAAAATTTTTTTTTTGGAAAATTTGGCCTAAACATTTAATTAATATTTTTATGAAAGTCCAAAAAACTTAATTTAAAAAAAAATAATATTAATGATAATAATAATATTGGTAATAAATTTTTCATTAGATGTAAAAATGTAGAATATATAATTAAAATAATTAATGTCCATTTATATATTAATAATGTTAATTATTATTGATATAAGTAAAGTTGCTACTTTACACTTTCTTCATGTACTTTATAATTTATTAATTATTTATAAATCGTCATAAGCAAGTACATGATATACCACAAGTCAAAAGGTGAACGATTATTCATCTGAGAAATGGAAACTCTTTTTACAATGCAAAATATATTCATATATCCATAATCTGATGTAACGAATCTTAATCATCGCGTAGCACGTGTTTTATAAATTTTTGAATTTAAAATAGAAATTCAAAATCCAATTTTTAGATATTAACATTTTTTTTTTTATATTAATATAGATCAGAAAAAAAAATGAAGAGGACAATTTAGGAAAATAGAGGAAAATATTAAGAACTTGGAATATATAATAATCTCAAGAGTAATTAATTAAACAATCTCGAATGACATTCACGCGATTAAATATTTAACCATGACTTTGATAGTAAATAAGGAAAATATGACCTGCTTTCTATATAAAAATAGTAAAACTTATAACAATTCCTTTTTCTCAATACTTTCCTTTTATTTTTTGGTAGATAAAAAAATAATGAAATTAGAAGTTAAAAGAGTACACAATCTCGAGTGACATTCGTGCGATTAAATATTTAACCGTGACTTTGAGATTATATACTTATATATAGTAAATAAGGAAAATGTGACCTGCTTGCTTTCTATAGAAAAAAAAATTTAACCGTTGGAAAAATTTTATTTTCCTTTTTGTTCATTTTTATTTGTGGTTTTTTTTTTTATTTAAGTATGGGAGAAAATAAGGAAATTTGAAATTATAGAATACATATTGTATAATTTTATAGGAAACCGGTAAGGAAGCGTGGTGTTTTTTTTTTCGTTGAATTTTTGGTGGGTTCAGTTCAGTTATACGATGGTGCAAGTCGCGTGATCGTTTTTGATTGGTCGAGAGATCTCAGCTGAGCTCAGGGTTGGCGCTGGTTTGTGGAACTCGATGGTACCACGTTGTCAATACAGGATACTTCATCCTTCTCTTCTTTATTCTCTTTCTTCCTCTCCCATCTTCCCCTTTTTTTAATTCAGGCGTAGCACGTGGTTCAGAGGTGCCGTTTACGTGAATAGAACATATATATATATAACACACACATGCTAGAGAGTGACACGTCATCTAGGCAAAATAGATGATAGAATATCGTGCTGTTTTTATTTTTTTTCTTTTTATTTCTCAAATTAACTTAGGACACTTTTTCCTCTATATTATTTATATAATAATAAAGTAACAATAATAATTTGTTATTCCATTATCTACTTAAATATTTTTTTTTATATTTGTCACTAAAAATAATATTGAAAAATTTTTTTTTTTTTTTCTTTTTTTGAGGTTATGTTGTCAGAAAACTCAGTGATTATTATTTCAATCAATGAATTTATTATATTTTATCCTTGATTATATCCAAAGTCATTGTGATCTATTTTTAAAAAATTTTTCGCTATTTTTTTTTTTTTTTAATTTTTTTATTTACCTTGGAATTTAAATTGAGTTGCAAAGAAAAAAAATATATGTTTTAAAAAATTTTTTCGAGATTATTTTAGCGTCATATAAAATAATTTAAAGTTTACATTTTTCATAACGAGATTTTAAATCATTTTTTTTTTTATTATTTTAGTTGCAAAAAGCAATTAGAGGACATTAAATAATATAACATGAGAAGGGAGATAATGAATAAATGTGATAATATGTTAGTGATAATTAGTTTTAACAATGTATATATATATATATATATATATATATATATAGGCATGTCCAATCGTTTTAGAACTTATTTTAATGAGAAAAGTTATAATCTTATTAATTGAGGTTTAAAATTAAAAAGAAAAAAGTAATAAATATTTTTCCAAACTTTTCTATTATCGTTGTTATATAAACTTCTCTAGAGAAATTTTTTATATTTGAACGAAATCTATAATATTGAAATAAATATTTGTACAGTTTTTTTAAGCTCTTACATCCAGAGAAATGTTTTAGTTGAACCAAATATACTATATTTGAGTTAAATAAACGTATATTTGTCTCACAGCCTATACTAGCCTATTTATTTGGCGTAAATAAAAGTTTTTATTTAAATCAAATAAAAGTTTATTTAAATCAAATAAATATTTATTAGGCTATGAGACAAATATACGTTTATTTAACTCAAATATATTATATTTGGTTCAAATAAAACATTTCTTTGGATGTAAGAGCTTAAAAAAACTATAGGGTCAGTTGGGGTAAATAGGGACAGGGGATAAATGGGGACAAGAGGTTTTGGAGCTTAATTTACAGTTTTAAAATGAAGTTCAACGTCAATATTTTAACTTCAGATCACCTGCAAGAGGTTTTGAGTGTTGCCAAGTTTTTATCTTGACAATTGGCTGCAAGATAAAAAAAGTTATCGCTCAATGCATAAAAACTTGAAAATCAAAATCAAACTGTTTCAGTATTTTGTCTCGCATTTCAATGAAAACAGACTTAAAAATCATACCAAATTTTTTTCTTATTCCTTATGACTCCCATAGCAGAAATTAACTTGAATTTTTGATTTTTGTCAATTTGATTAATAATGACAGGCTGTCCCCATTTACCCTGAGTTTTCAAATTTTTGGGGTAAATGGGGACAGCTTGTCATTATTAACCAAATTGACAAAAATCAAAAATTCAAGTGAATTTCTGTTATGGGAGTCATAAGGAATAAGAAAAAAATTTGGTATGATTTTTAAGTCTGTTTTTTTTTCAAATGCGAGACAAAATACTGAAATTAAAAAAAAATAAAAAAATTTCAATTGGTTCAACTATTATATAGGGTAAGTGTACTAATTACGGCGAGTGCACCAATTACGGCGCGTTCATAAAAAATAACTATTGTTACTATTATATTTAATATAACTGTTGCCAAATGATTAAAAAAAATTATTTCAATCTTTTTTTGATACAAATACTTATAAAGATGCACATTTAAACAATTATTAATTTAATTATTTGAGATCAAATTTTTTTCCGCGCCGCAATTGAAACATTTTTAAGATTTCCATTGGCTTCAATTTCGGCGGGCAAAGTATCTTCAAAATACACGTAATTTTGGTCACCGCAATTGATACACCGAAACTGATACAAACTCGCCGCAATAGAAAATTACGGTATTAGTTTTAATTTCTCATATTTGTTTAAATAATCGATTTTTATAGAGTTAAAATTTTTTTTTAATATCTTAATAACATAAGCTTTAAGTTTAATAAGTCTTAAATTGAGTTTATACAATAGAAATGTCGAATTTTCT